CATAGCCAACAACATTCTCATTGTCAATCTGTACACAAATTCATCATAATAGATTCCAAACATACATAGGCGTAGTGTCAGGGGGTCACGTGCTCCTTAAATTTTTCAAAACTTAAAGCAAAATTAAAGTTATTACTTTAAAAAACACCCAAAAAAAAATTTTTTATTGAAAAGTTTGTAACTTTAGATAGTTTATTAATAATTTAACGAAATAGTTCTATATTTATCAATTTTCGGCGTAGGTGGTATCTTAAAAAATCATTTAGTGATTTTTTTTAACTATTGCTTAACGATTTTTATGTTGAAATCAATAGGTATTAATATAGTTTATAATTGTGGCTATTAGTTATTTAGTTTAATGTTTGCACTTTATAATTTTTTAATTACAATTAGTTTGTGTTAATATTGCGCAAAGACACTAAAGTTTTAAAGACAGTGTTTATTTTTTGTACCTGTCCAAAGATTTTAGTATCGTTTTAATTTATTTTTGTCTTATAGCATAAAACATTTTTCAACTTGTTTGGAGCTTTAAGGTTTTATTCGGATTCAGGCATAAAATTTTAGGTAAAATGCGATAAAATATTTATATTTATTATTGTTATAATTTTTAACCACTAAGTTCCATTTCATACGAATATTTTTAGAGTACTGATACATTTTAAATTGTAACGTGCCAATTTTCAACATATTTCAATAGAATGTGCTCTAGGTATTACTTTAATTGATTATCACATTACTTTTAAAAATCTACTACAGGACTTGACTTTAAATACCGCGCGGATAGCTCTAAATGCATAAAAATATTAAAATTTGTCACATCATTGCACGTAGTAAAAACGTTATTCTTTAAAATTTTAAAGGAATTTCCCATCAAGGAATTACACAAATAATAAATAAAGTACATTATGATGGATCTGATTTTCTCGTATTCTTACAAGTAATAGTCTAATACAGTGATTCTCAACCACTGTGCCGCGGCACTTTTGTGTGCCGCCAAATTCTTAAAATGTGCCGCCAAATATTAGAAATGATACAATAAAAATTATAATGCTTTTTTTTTATTATGAGTAAAGTATTTTTCCATGCTTTAACCGCGTGAACATCTTTGTCGGCAATTGTATTGTCTCTGACAATCTTAAAATAAGATGGAAGTGCTTAAATTGTATATGACACAGAATTTTAAAAAATGTTGTAAGAGCTAATCATTAAAGTAAGCTATGCAATTAATAAACAAATTACAAAGGTTAACTAAAAAAAATTAAGCTAACAATTATTAATTAGCAAAAAAACTAGTTAACAAGAAATCACAAAAAAATAACAGTTAATAATTACAGAAAACAAGCTAACAATTAATAACTAGCAAAAAAATAAATAACTGTTACTAACTAATAAAAAATTGGTCGAAAGAAATAATTAATCCCTTAATAAATGTGCTTTTGTAGTACATGTTATTTTGTTTCACATTCAAAATTATTATCACAAACTATTTGAGACAGTGTAAAATAGGTAATTAAACAACTTTTAATCTAATTTTTTTTTATTGTGTGCCGTCGAATTTCGAAATCGTTAAAAGTGTGCCGCAACAACAGAAAGGTTGAGAATCACTGGTCTAATAGTTAAAAATGAATTAAAACAGTAAAAACTTGTTCGTGCTTTGGGCACTGTGGGTAAAGCGATAATATCACTAATTACAAGCCTAGGCTAATTTTATTTATGCTGATCTTTTATTAAAAATATATTGCACGATAGTTAAAATTCTTAGGTTTCGTATTATTTTTAAATCACAGTTTTATGTTTGAAAATTAAAATGAAACATAATTCCCATTAAAACTATTTTCTAATATTTACTTAAAGAAGTAATGTTAATAGATATTAGAAAAATATAGGAGTGAAAAATTGAAAAAATCAATAAAAAAAAATTTTCACAATTGATTGTTTAAAACTTAAAAACGGGGGGAAATTATTATCACCCCCTGAAATAGAATTGCAGCACGCAAAAAAAATTACTAAATAACTAACTAACAAAATAATTAATAATAACGACTAACCCTGAATGACTTTTGATATAATGATTGAGTTTGCAATAACTATTTAGCATATTTGATGTCGCCCGCTAGAAACAGTGATATTGAGTTAAAAAAGTTTGAGTTCATTAAAGTTATTCAAAATTATCCTTTTTTTGCACGCGCTCGCAATACATCATTCTTTACCATCTACAGTAAAAAGGTTATGAATTAGATATTTTCTACGGTATTTTTAATTTTAAGAAAATAAAACATCAAAATTTAGTCTTGCCATAATTTCACTAATGCCCTGAATACATTACAGAATCTTTCATTTCCCACGAAAGTTTATTATTTCCAATTTACTATAGTGACCATATATGGCAGTACTTTTACTTTCGTTACTTGTACCGCCGGTACAAGTAAAAAGTACGTACTTTTACTTGTACTTCGTTACTTTTTAAATTTAGTACTTTTACTTGTACTTTCGTTACTTTTTTAGGGAAAAAGTACAAGTATTTGTAACGGAAATATCGAANAGATTTAAAGATTTGATGAAATTAGAAATTCCGGATTGGATTTTCGATCCTTTCTCTTTTGAAGTTGTGGATAAGCTCACTTCCTCTTTGTAGACTGAGATTTTAGATTTGAAGTATGACTGTGAGGCTAAAGTCGTCTTTAAAAAATACGGTTACGAGTTAGCTTGGGTAAAGCTTATGGACACTTATCCACAATTGTGGAAACAAACTGAGCTTCTTCTCATCTCGTTCCCGTCAGCATATTTAGTGGAGAGAGGATTTAGTTCTGTCTTCCAGCTGCTCACAAAGCAAAGAGATATGTTGGACATTTACTTCAAGGGAGACCCGCGTTTAAATCTGAGGAGCATAAAACCTGACATTCAAGCTTTAACTTGAAATACACCAAGCACAGGGCAGTCATTGAAGTGGTAAAAATGTACTTTCTCAATCTTCATTTTTTTTCTCAAATTTAGTTGCATTACAAAACAAAATTTGTAGAACATTACAAAATTTTGTTTAACGTTTTCTTGATTACATTAAAATATGAATTTAAAAAAATGTACTTTTGATTATTCCGTTTTAAATATCATTTATTTTTGGTAAAAAAAAAGATTCACAATTTGTTTTTAATTAATAAAAATGACAGGATAAATGTGCCTTCTTATTTGCATTACAATTTAAATTAAAATCAAATAACATTGCATATTTTCAGTGTTTGGTTGCTCACAAGCAAACACTGAATGGTTTTTTGAACAAAAAGAGAAAGGGGCGATATGTGTCAGCCAACCCCAAGAGGAGGGCGATGGTCCACAAAAGGTTGGGAGCCACTGATCTACAGTAAAAAGGTTATGAATTAGATATTTTCTATGGTATTTTTAATTTTAAGAAAATAAAACATTAAAATTTAGTCTTGCCATAATTTCACTAATGCCCTGAATACATTACAGAATCTTTCATTTCCCACGAAAGTTTATTATTTCCAATTTACTATAGTGACTGTCTACTAACTCCTCTGCTAAATATGGAAAATTACTCTGAAAGACATTTATAAGAAATTTATATTTATGTATGTATGTATGTATGTATGTATATGAGCGATGTCGTATTTTATGTGCATGCTGGTTGTAATTTTAACACGCAATTTTGAATTTTTTTCGCCATAACAAGGTTTGAAAATTTGCTTTTTTAAAGTAAGAAATATATAATTGTCTTTGTTGGCTTACTTATTTATTTTATTATTCAATAAATGTGTTCGTAAAGGGGTCAAATTATCAAACAAAATTCTGTACAAAAATGTGCTTGCTAACAATTTCTTTGTGTTGTCCAGCTTAGTAGTCTATAAAAAAGGAACACACACTCTTGAATAAATTTTTTCGCTTATGATTGAATTTCAGAGCTACAAAATTCAAGGGGAAAAAAAGTATATGATAACTTAATGTTTTCTGCCTATTCTCTATTTTAATCTGCTAAATATTCGATAAAAAGAAAAGCTAAATAAAGAAACACCCATGAATAAATTTTTTCTCTAATAATTCGATTTCGCATATACTTATAAAAAAAATTAAGCCTTCAAAACTTTAAATAATTACAGTGCATCGCTTTAAAAATAAAAACCTGATGTCTTTGTAATCATAGTTTTAATTTACTTAATCGGAAATGAAATTCATAAGTTGAGGAATATATTCGATTGAAAACATATGTTCTACTACCAGTGCTGAAAAAGGACTTTTATGAAAAGCATTAAAGTTGTCAGTCGTTGTAAATTGAACACAATGCATGCAAATTTGATCTAATCTTGTCACATTTTTTTCTACGCAAATTTTAATTATAGTTTTTTAAGAAATAATAATAATTTTGATTAAATAATAATATCTTTTCCATTATTGGCGAAATCTTTTAATTCATCTTATTATTATTACTGTATTAAGATCACGTTTTTTTATTATTATCATTTAATAAATTAATTTATTTTGAAAAAGAAAAAATAGAAAACTTGGAACACATTGATAAACATGAAAAAATATATCCATATTTTCAAGGGGGAAAAAGTTATTTTTTAAATAAATTGATAGAGAGATTCCTTAAAAACTTATTTATTTTTCATATATTAAATTGTATAGGTAAAATCATATTTTTATTTTCTTGTATTTTTATTTATTTATTTTTTCCCCTAAATATTGCTTATGAACCAAAATTAAAATCGAAACCGAAACCAGATTCTTCTCAGTCAGAAAAAATATTGTTTATTTCGAAGCAAAATAAAAATTTATTAATATTTCGTAAATAATAAATAACGTGATTAAATTCGATTACGATTATCAATTTATTATTTCGTTTGCTCAGTAGTTGCTCATAAAGGTTGCTTACATGATGAGTTGGCTTTGCCCATTCAAAGGAGGAGCTGGGACGCTGACTGACGTCAACGTCGCAGCGCTCGAGCGTCTATCCAATCCCTACCTCAACTATGGAAGAATCCGGACTACGTCATAGTTCGATAGGAGGAGAATGATCTGCCTTTAGCGTCTCTCCTTTCCTCTCGAAGCTTTCAATGAATCCTTGCTTTTAATATCAAAATACTACTGTGGGTATTTTTGTTACACTGATGCGATAAGAAATACTGAAAAATACTTCATCGAACAAATTTTATTTAACGGCTTTACAGTGAAGAATGGATCTAGTGTCAAGCCTATGCTTTAATTTTAATCAACCACAACCGTAACCGGCTGTCTTTCCCCCAAATATTTTATTGATTTCTGGTGTTGTTGATTTACGAAAACTAGACTTTGTTTATTAAAAACAGTTAATAAAATAAACAGCAGCTCAAGGATGGAGTGGAATGCAGAAAGTGTGCTGGATGCGTTGAATGATTTTGAACGAAAACCAGAATTAAATCCTTTATTAGAGGAATATTTACAGCGTATTGCAAAGAATGGCGAAATTGTTTTCCCGTGGTGCAAACTAAAACCATTATTAAAAAAGAAACTTGAAGTCGTTGTCGACGAATTTTACGAAACTTGTCCAGTAGAAACTTCTGTACCTGTGCCGAATTTTGAAACTTTTAACTTTGATAATCTTAAAAAGAGTATTCTTCAAGCATTGGATGCATTTACAAGTGCACCGTTTACTATTCAACGATTATGCGAGCTTGTTACCAATCCTCAGAAACATTACAACCGCACAGATAAATACATGCGAGGCATTGAAAAAAATGTTCTTGTTGTTAGCACAATTGAACCTCGCACTGGTGGTCAAGGAGATAATAATAATGTCAATAACAATGTAATTGTCAATGGCATGATTAATGATTCTCCTCGAGATGATAATGATACTTTAAATGGTCATGAAAGCGAAAGTGGTGATAGTGTTTCCTCATCTAATATGAATACTTCTTCCAGTCATGTTCTTTTAGAAAATTTCGCTAATGTCTTTCCGACTGCTGCATGCATTCCCTCTGCTTCTAGTATGTGTATCAGTCGGGATATGGACAGCAACTTCATATCAACATCTGAAAGTGTTGAATCTCAAGATGAAATTGAGTTTGATAGATCAACACCTACCGCTGAAGAATCTGTGGGTAATATTGCAGAAGCCAAAGATGATTCAGATCCTATGGATGTTTCAGATGAAGATAGCTTCCATGAAGTTTCTATGGATAATGAGGAAGTAAATGTTCCTGAAGAATTACAAGAATCAAAAAAGGACAATGATGAGTCATGTGGTGACTTACAGTGTGATTCTAATACAGTTGATGATGACTCTGATGATATTAGGGAAGCTGATAATGAAGCTGATAGTTCTGCCTCTGTTGATTTACCACCTTTGGAATCTGTTGAAAGCAGTCCTCAAATTGAAGTCATCTCTCAAAGTGACGAAGTTTCCAAGAACTCTCCAAATCGAGAATGTTTTGAAGCCATTGAAGCTGATAATGAGTCAGCTAATGTAATAGATTCAAGTGAAGAACATGTTAAACCATGTTCTCCACTTCAGGAGCCATGTTCCCCATTTCAAGAAACATGTTCACCTCATCAAGGATCCTGTTCTCCACTTCAAGAGCCATGTTCACCACCTCAAGAACAGGGTTCTTCTCTTCAAGAAACATCTAATAGTGTGTCTGATAATAGTAAAATGTGTGTTAGTGAATCAGCAGAGCAAAACAATGAGCTTGAATCAGACAACAGTGAGGACTGTAACTGAAAGAGAATTTTTACTTTCTGTATTTTCTATTTTTGTGTTGGTACTTCATATACTTATTATCTGAAGCTGAGAAGTTAAGTGTTTTTAAAACGTGTATTATTCGATGTGCAACAGTAAACTTAAAATCTTCAAGTTAGTGGAAAAAAATAGTTAACAAGGAAGAAATTATTTTATTATTAAAGCCTCTGGAAGTTAATTATTTTATTATGGTATTCTTCATGTTGTAATGATTCATAAATTAAAAATAATTAATCTCTAGTTATAATAATTTTTTAGCATTTTGAATGATTAAAAATAAATCCTGTAAATTTTACTTTTAGCTACTAATATTTGTTTTAAATGTTTTTATAGCAGTTCATATCGATATAGAAGTGCTTAACTAATTTTTTCACTTTAAAGTAAATATTAGCTTCCCTGATTTCATGTCTTGCTGGTTATTGAACAACTTATCTATCTGTGTGTTAATTATGTGTTTCTCTAGAATAAATAACAAAGTATAATTTATTCATATTTATAATATTACCATCAATCATTGTGTGAATTGAAAATTTATCTTAGAGCTTGAATTTTTTTTTCCCCCATCTTAAACAAAATGTGGGTAAAATCCTAGGATAGCCCACCTCTTGGGAAATAATGATGATTCTAACAGCAAGAGATCAGGTGCGATAATGGCAACAAAATAAACCCTTGTACCTCTTTTCCAATGAAATCCAACCTTTGGCGTCGGTGTACATGTAAAATAACCAATCAGGTTTAAGAATTTTGNAAATGTGTGTTGGGAATCACCACATGGTGTGATATTCTAGGATCCACTCCAAAATGTGCTAACTAAATTACATGTATTTTTAATAGTTTAATTAATAGGGTTTTTCATATATTGTCCTATTTAATTTAACAAATGTAATATCAATTTAGTGCAAAAAAAAGTTGCTAGATTGTGAAATGTAATAGTCAACAGAGTTTAAAAAAACCTAACTCTAAAGGGTGTTATTGTGTTTTTTGGGGGTCTAAGATATTACCTAGTTAAACTTTTTTTAGGTTGAACTGAAATTTTAAATCAAAAGGAAATAAGTTAAGTTGAAAAAAAAAGCTTTTATTTTAATATATTATAATCTTTTTATGCTGGTATTAATGAAAGGTTTTTAAATTAATTCTTTTTTTGACTGGAAATGAAACTTAATATTAAAATAAAAGAATTATTTTTTTCTAAAAAAATATATTGTTCTTTTTATTTAATAATTTTCTTAATAGTTTTTTTAATTGCTCTTTAAACTATGTATGTAGAATCAGCAGGGGTCTGTCTAGGTTTTTCGGAGAAGTGCCTATTTTGGAAACTTTACACATAATTTGTGAAAATTAAAAATTATATTAGAAAGTCAACACAAAAATATGAATTTATCATTTTTTATAAGATACAAAAATGAAATTTTAAGAAAAAGTATTTTGTAAAACTACCGTTTTTTCTAAAGTTGATTTTTCTGAAGGTACCACTAAACTGTAGTAAATTTGGCATGGACAGACCCCTGATTAGTTATAATAATGAAATAGGTAACCAATCAATCATGTAAACTTTTATTAAATAAAATTTATAATGCTAAATAAGTTATCAGTTATTTCATCATTAATTATTCAGTATTTTATTAGGCTTTGAAATTTAATTAATATTTATATTTAAATTATTACTTTGTTGCATTAAAATATATTCATTAACAAAATATTTTAATACCTTTTGTATATTTTATAAAACAAAGGTATTCTTTTGAAAAGAATTAAAAAATTATTTTCAATGTTTTGTTATACTTATATATGTTTATTTTATTCATATTTGAAGGCTTAAAGGAGATAAGAGAAAGAAAAAGTTATTCCATCTTGTACTTTGCACCTGTTCAAATCACATTCTTACTTTTGTTCTTTAATTTTCTTAAGGAAGAAAAATTATTGTGTTAATTCAAAGTTACATACATATTTATCTAAATACACTGAGTTTTGAAAGTAGAGTTATGAATATTTGTGTGTTATGCATTAATATTTATAACTCAAACAAAAAATAACAATTGGTATAAGCAGGGGTCTGTCTAAGTTTTTCTAAGAGGTACCTATTTTGTGAAAATTTTGCCATAATTTGTGAAAAATTATAATAAAAAGTTAACACAAAAATATGGGTTTATCGTTTCTTACGAGATATAAAAATAAAAAATTTTTGTAAAGTTAAATTTGTAAAGGTATTGCTAAATGGTAGTAAATATGGCCTGGACAGACCCCTGATAAGGGTAGATTTTGATTATGTTGATTAAGACCCATTTGAGCCAGGGTTATTTTTTTCGGGAGATGGTGGGTTGTGGGTGGATCAAAAACTCCTTTGGTAATAATTTTTGTCATTTTTAAATCTTTCAACTTCGTCCAATCAGTTGATAGACTATATTTTGAGCATGGAAATGTTTTCAATAATTAATAGAAGCAAATAAAAGTCAACTTTGGATAATTTATATAAATATAGTTAAATAGCTAAAAGGTAAATGTTCACTAACTCTTTTAAATGTGTTCTTTTCAGTATGTAAATATTGGTTTAACATTGTTGAATCCAATATTTACAAACATTGAAATTATGAAAACATATCCGATGTATAAAAACATTGAAATTATCAATTTCTTATTCATTTTGCTGCTGGAATCTAATATTTAAATACAGTTGTAATAAGTATATATAAAAAAAAAAATTCGTAGAAAATAATTAATACAAACTATGTTATGTATTTTTAAGAAAAAGGGTATATGAGGAGCTTAGTGTAAGAAGTTCAAAGTGACATTTTAATGAATTTAGAAACATCAACTTAAATAATGGAAACTGTACAACACACATTTTCTCATTAAAAGTTGTCTTCTTTTATAGTATAAAAATTCTCTTCATATAGTCGACTATAACAAAATTTCAGACCATTTTAAAATATGACTTGGTACTTGCTTCCACCAAGCTTTTATGAATAACGAAAAAAAATATTATTAATTTATTTTATTTAAAGATTAAAAACATTACAACAATTTATAATCATATATAAATGAATCTACTTAATTTTATTAAGTAATTGCCGTTTGGGTAAAGATGTTGGATTGAGTTCGGAAGTTCCATTTAAAACTTTAGGATGTAAATCTTAATGCTATATATTTTTTCCTGGTAGATTACATATTGTTACGGGTTTTAAGTCTGCTTGTTTAATTTCTCTTTAACACTGTTTTCTTATTGAAAAATGGTCTAATATATAAAGTTTCTTTTTCTTCATTGTACAAATTTCATGATATAGGTTTGAAATTTTATAAGCTATTTATTTAAGACTTCTTTTCGTACATGCTTACTAAATATTTTTTTTAAAAAATGAGAAGCATAGTTCTTAAATGAAACCCAAAAAACCTAGTGATATTAGAATTAAGTGAACTGGCATCGATTTTTTTTATTAAAATTTTAAATTGTTATGTGTTGATAATTAAATTTGAACTGTTTAATTTTTATTTCATTTGTAAATATAACTTTTTTCTTTATTTTTTTTATAATAATAGTCTATAACGATCTCAAAATTATTTTTATTGAAAGAAAATTGATAGTGTTATGTTTTATGTCTGTTCATTTGAAATTCTTTAATATATTTTTTATTAATGGTTTTTACTTCATAAGATTATAGAAAAAATACTAATTGTAGTAACACTATGAGACTATAGGGAAAGCAATAATTGTAGAAATATTTAAACACGTGTATGTGTGTGGAGAATTTCAAATGTATCTTATTACAAATGAGTTGTTCCTGTTGATTTTAGTTAAGTACAGTATGGAACCCGTTATCCGGAAATCGGAAAACCAAAAAACCGGAACGAAATTCGATACATTTTCCCGCCATTTTTTTAAAAAAAATTTTTTGCTCCTAAGATTTTAGGATTTTTCTTTCTTTTTTGAAAGATGTTTACCTTACCACCATTTTGGAAATAATCATTAGTGTATTACTTCATTGTTTTTTCTTCTTTTTAAGATTATTTCCAACTATTTTTGCCTTTTTTAGTTGGGTTTAACAATAAGAAAACGGCTTTTTGTATCGATTCAGAAAACCGGAAAAATCAGTTATCCGGAATAGCGATGGTCCNTATAGGGAAAGCAATAATTGTAGAAATATTTAAACACGTGTATGTGTGTGGAGAATTTCAAACGTATCTTATTACAAATGAGTTGTGCCTGTTGATTTTAGTTAAGTACAGTACGGAACCCGTTATCCGGAAATCGGAAAGCCAAAAAACCGGAATGAAATTCGATAAATTGTCCCGCCATTTTTTTTTTAAAAAAACATTTTTTTTCCTCATAAGATTTTAGGATTTTTCTTTCTTTTTTGACAGATGTTTACCATTTTGGAACTATTTTTGCCTTTTTTAGTTGGGTTTAACAATAAGAAATCGACTTTTTGTATTGATTCAGAAAACCAGAAAAATCAGTTATCCGGAATAGCGATGGTCCCGATCGTTCCGGATAATCGGTTCCCTACTGTATTATGATTTTGTTTTATTCTACGGTAATATTAAATATAAAAAATCTTATGTGGCAATTTTTGCTTTTTACTGTGGAAAGTGAATTTTTTTTATTAAGAGCTTAAAATTTTCTGTAATTTAAGCAAGTTCATAATTCTTACATTAATTTATCTCTTGATATAAGGCTCTGTAAATATTTAATATTATGTGTTACAATTTTTTTGTGCAGCTGTAATGTTAATGTTAACTTTACTGTCTGTATGTGTTTTGTTAAAATGTAAGAAATAAAAGATATTGCTGATTTTTTTATACCTTTATTGAAATGCAACAACAAAACTATAATACATTTTAAAGATTTTTTCAATAATACAATGTTAAAACAAATTAATACCTTAGACATCTTAACTGTACCAAACAATGCAGTGTAATAAGAAGATACAAAGAAATAATACCAAATGCACATGATATTAGCACTTAGATTACTGAAACTTAAATTAAAATCAATAGAAGTTTTTCTGATTTATGAATCTAATTTAGGAGTAAAAAAAAATATGTTCATTTTAAAATAATGTGTTTAAATTTTTAAATGGTTTTTCTGATCTATATTGCTTTAAGTTCTAAAAACTTTTTTACACAATTAAATTTTTCCATATAAAAGTATTTTTTTTTAATCTAATTCATTTTCTCACCTGTAAATTGGAGACTTGTAGTTTTAATTAATGCCTTTAGTAATTAAACTCTGTACGTAGCACCCTGAAATATTCTTCTATATTGAAAAATTAAATTACATTTCTCAAAGACACATTTTGGAAAACGAAATTTTAGTGACATAGCAGTAGCTTGGTTTTATATGGTTAGTACTTATATGACTGTTGTAAGAGCAGTATTTGCTTTACTTTATTTTTGTGTGTGATAATTAAACACACACGCACATTTCTTTAGAATGAAATCAGATTTGTTTTCAATTCTCCTCAATCGAAGAGCAACGTGATAACATGTTAAGTTTGTTTTTTTAACTTTATTGTATAACTAATAATAGGCAAAGAGTAGTGATTTCCTTTCAGTGAAATTAAATCAAGAGTTTTATTTTGTTTCAAATAACATTTATTCAAGTATGACAGGTAAATTGATATTTTGATAAAATATTTACTCATCTTAAATCATAATTATTAAGTGTTTAATGCATTAGAATAATATAATATGTATTAATGTTGCTTTTGACATGTTAGTTGTACAGAGATGATTGTGCTCTTGAAAAAATCCGGATTTTTCGCTAACTGCGATCTAGAAATCCAAAGTCCAGAAGTTTCAAGAAATCATCAATCACATTTATGTGTAAAAATTCTAGTATATTTCATTTAAAAATATTAGAACTGGAATTTATACTTGGCATCTCTTTCATTTGTAAATAATTTTTTTTTTTTTTTCTNTTGTAAATATTTTTTTTTTTTTTTTGTTAAAGTAATAAATGTGATTAGAGATAAAAGTATACTTATTATTATAATTATTAATTTAAATATTGCTGCATATAATTTATTTAGAATTTCATGTTTAAAAAATATCAATGATTTAAATTTATAAAGACATTAATTTGTATTATTATTAGACATTTAAATTTATAAAGGTTTTTGACATGCGTCATTAATGATTTTACTCAAGAAATTTTCAGGAATTTTAAGTTGGGCTCACGATTACCCCTGGTAATATTGAATTTAAAATCTTTCAAATCTTGTGAAACGCTTAGAGGAAAAAATTCTAAATGCATTTGGCAGCAAACAGTCAACCAATGACCTTTGAAAGCTTTTCTTTTGTTTAAAAACTGAACACCAAAAGTGTGGTCTTGAATAATAGTTTAAATGTGTGTTGGGAATTTAATTACAACTCACAATATATAGTGAATGTTAGGTCGTGAAACCACCCAGCTCCAGACCAATGGTAACCAACTTGTTCGGAAAGTATTAGCAGTCTTTGTGCAACGCTGACCAATTGCCTCCTTCATGACACTGGTTACAAAATGTTGGCGCCTTAACCTCCATGATCATCCTGGCCCAGAATGGGCTGTTGCAGGAATGCTTACTATTTCCTTTGCTTTTTATGATGTTTATACTCTATTATCAGTGTATAATTGACAATGTTTTTGTTTTATTTTTAGACATTTATGATTATTAGCAAAGGAAAAGACGTCTTTCGATTCAGCGCTACTAAGAGTATGTGGATTCTTACTCCATTCAACCCTTTGCGCCGCATTGCCATCTACATTCTTGTTCATCCTGCCTTCAGCTTTTTTGTCATTGTTACTATTCTTGTAAATTGTGTGCTCATGACAATGCCTAGCAATGATACAATTGAAAGTTCTGAGTAAGTTAATTTCTCTTTTATTTTAGTAATTCAAAACATAATCAAACTTTTTCTATTTGCTGTGCATTTTATTTCCTATTTCGTATAAAGATAAGAAGCTAAAAATTGTTTCATCCTTTTTCCCAACGTTTGATAAAATGTATAGGTAGGTGACATTTTTACCTCAAACTGTCCCAATTTGTTTATGGTTTTGTTAAATGAGAATATTTTGCATTTAATAAAGTATTTAATAAATATTAGCATGTTATTGATGAAAATTAGCTATTTGGTGGCAGAATTATTGGTGTTAAATAAAATTGCTATTTGGTGTATCTCTAGTGTCCACAATCTTAATAAATTTTTTGTTTTTCCATTTCAGAACAATATTTACATCAATATATACAGTTGAATCATGCATCAAAGTGGTAGCTAGGGGATTTATTCTCGAGAAGTTCACATATCTTCGTGATCCGTGGAATTGGTTGGATTTTATAGTTATTGCCTTAGCGTAAGTTGCTTTTGGAACAATTTTTTGCTCATTATATTCTTTTTTTTCTTCTTTTCCTTCTCTGCACATATTCATATGCTTAGGATATCCAGATTTCTGAAAACCCAAAAGGTTTTATAATGTTTTTTGGCAAATTTAAAGACAAATTGCCAAACATTTTCTATTGAAAATGTTGCTGATTTTTACAAAATGGAATAAATTTATTGTTTTTTAACAGTCTGTTGTAATGGGAATAAGTGCAAATAATTCCCCAGAAACACAGTTTTTTTTTTTTTTTTTTTAAATTTCTTGCAAAATTAAAGGGTTTTTTTTATTGAACAACTTTTTCAAAATATTAAAAAGTAAAGAGTTGTTTTTGAAATTTTTTGATAGTAGTTTTTTTTTCCATTAACAAAAAAAAAAATTTTTATTTATTGAACTTAATGAAATTCTTGAATAAACTAGCATGTATATTAAATATGATTGGAATAAAAATATATTGCAATATCGATAATTTATGAAAATAAATTGACATATAAATTTCTTTTTCAATTAACATTGAAAAAAAATATTGTAATGCGACACTTTTATTTTACAGTAAAAAACATTTTTATTTTCAAATATACAAATTTCCCCCTATCCTCATTCGCACAATATGTTCTAAACTGTTATATGTTAAGTATGTGTGTTCTGTAATAATAGTAGCTTAGCTTTCTTTGAATATGGATATGTTTTAGTCATTCATCATCACAAATATATTTAGTTTAGATGTTATTTCAATTGAATTATATTACTATTAAATTTTATATTTAAGTTCGTAGTAAAAAATGTAAAATTATTGAAATTGAGTTATAAAATTTTTACCGTCATTCTAATTTTACAAGTAAATACATTAGTCTCACACAAGCTCTGTCATTAATTATTTCATTAATATTTTTAGAAATGAATGTTATAACTTCCAGTGTATTTTATTGTTAATATCTTGCATTAATTTATAAATTGTTAACAGTATAATTTTTTTCCTCAAAAGCTAATCCTTTTTTAAGCTGCACACTATTTTTACATAAGTCATGAATTTTATTTATTCTTAGTAATATAAATTTTTTTGAAATCATACTGAACTTCATGTACCTGGGAACTGATCGTAATTAAATATTTTGTTTCATGTTTTATTTTTTGTCATTCCAGATATGTTACTATGGGTGTAGATTTAGGAAATTTGAGTGCATTAAGAACTTTTCGTGTACTCAGAGCCTTAAAAACTGTAGCTATAATTCCAGGTATGCTAAATGTTTATATTACTATACATTTATATGACTAGAGTTTGCACAATTTTTAAAGAATGGTTGAAGATTGTCTTTTATTATTATTATTACTATTACAGTATAGTTTGTCTAAAGTAATAACTCCCCTAGCCATTCGTTTAAATAGGTTGTGGTGACTATTGTAACGAGGTATAACTATTTCAAGTAGGGGTGTAGTGTCATTGTATAGGATAGATTTTTGCTCAGTTCGGCGAATCTTTTTCTTCAGTCTATTGTGTTAGCCCTAGAGCGAAGAGAGGCTACCTTCCTTGAAATACGCAATTCTTGTTCCTGTACTAGCAGTTGACCTCAGACTTTGTGGTGAGGGAAGATCTTACCATTTACAAATTATAGAATGTCGACCAATTCTTTCTCATGAAACCAATCATTGTGAATGATAGATATGGGAAAAAAATAAATGCAGCACAACATAAAATATCAAATATTGACTTAATGTATTGAAAGTAATAAAAGAATTAATAGTCTTGAAAATTAATAAATTTAAAATAAGTATAAAAAATTTGAATTAAAAAATATTATGTACTTAATGCAAAAATATTTGCAATGCAAAAGATTTATGAATAAGCACATTTGTTTATTTAAAATATTTGGAAATTTTGGTTTGAGTACACGCTCTTCTTTTCCCTTCAAGCAAACTGTTACCCAAATAATTATTCTATTATTGATTATTTTGAACCTGTTAACAAAATGTATGCATTGCAAATTTCTGCACTGGTTTATTATTCTAGTTTACACTCTGGTTTATGAATTTGTATTTATGGCAGTTCTTTGGTGACTTTTACCTCACTTGAATTAACAATTTTTCGAATATAGTCTTATTTTTATAACTTTTGAGAGTTTGTAACAGTTATTTGTAACTGTTGGGTTCAGTTTTGTTCACTTCTATCTAGTCCCATCTATGCTGATTATGGAAACCTGCACAAAATGACAATATTAATAAAAGTTACTATTTTTTTAAGCCAAAGAAATTTATTATCTATATTTTTATAATTAAAAAATTATTTCATTCCATCATTATCTAAGCTCATAAAAGTTTGCAAAACTTGAGAACTATTCAAAATTTTAAAGATCAAGGTGAAAAAATGTCACCAAATTCGCAATTATTTAGAAGTATTTTATTGAATTTTAGATAAATTACCTTTAAAATATATTAAGATTAATGCTGTTTGTAGTAAAAGTGTCAGTAATTTTTTTTATAAAATAAAATAAGTATTTTTTTAACAGTCTTTTGTAATAGGAGTAAGTTTAATGTAGTACAAATTTTTTACTATATTTAAACTAATATGTTTTAAATAAGAAATATATGTTAATTTATGTATTATTTGTTAAAAGTGGTCTATATTTTTCTCAATAGTTTAAATTTCAATAGTCCAGTCAATTTGTTTCACAAAATTTATAGTACATAATAATATTGCTTTTAAGTTTAACGTCCTCAGATTGTAACTTTATATATTCCCTCTGAAAAATTCCCTCAAATGTCGAAGCAAAAAACTTTCAGTTATAGCTGCCATAAGAAATTTAGATGTGGAGCCATTAAAATATTTGTGAAGGTCATAGTTTATGTTTATTAAAAAGTTCTACTTTGGCTTCTACAGTAAAAGTTTTCGGAAAAAGTATATATTGTCATTTATATTTTTAATATAAAAAAAATTTTACGTTTGTAATAGAAGTATACTTAATTTTTAGGAGCTAAAAGTACTTGGAAGAATTTTCAACTATATGTAGCTAATTTATGTTATTTAAGGCTCTTTCTTTTAAGATGATCGATTTGTGACATAATCGTGACATAATACTACAAAATCGATTTGTGACAAAATTTTATCATAAATTGCATGCTATGCATGTGAATGGAGTAGCCAATAAAAATTTCCAATTGTATTTTTCTAAATAATGGTTAGCTTACTCCTAAACTTAATAACTTATTTCATGTTTTTCGTATAATATTTGTGGTTTTCCTCATGTTTCCTAGTTATGTCCTAGAAATAATAAAGAAAGTTACAAATATTTGTGCAGAGTAAATTTTAATGTGTATTTGTTCCCTTAAAGCCCATTTTAGAGTTATTAAAAAAAATGACACAATTTGAGTAATTTCAATTTAATGAAGTGTAAATTAGATATGAAGATGCTATACAGTATTAAAAAAAAGGAAGTTTTAAAATTTTTCTTACCTAGTTTATATAACAATCCATGTGTCTCCACTTTGTTATAATGCAAACATCTTAAGTGGCAACCAAACTTGTCACGCGCACGAAACAACCATGTGTGCTCATTCACCCCTAACAGGTGAAAAAAAAATGGTATGTTCACTTTCATATCCAATTTATATCTGGTGAAGTGAAATACAAATTAATTAAATTTGCTTCATCTTTTTGAATAACTCTGCTTAATTGTATTTTACAATGTTATATGCTGAAAATTATTTTAGTTAGTTAATATTTATGACAATTTATTCAATATGACTTTTTTTTTCTTAATGACTTATCAAACTCATCAAGCCAGTTTGCAAAAGTTGTGCTTAGCTATTCAGAATTAAAAGTTATAGACTCTTGCAGTTAAAGTTAAGCAAATAAACTGATATAATAGCTTGGAGAATATATTTAGGAAAAATAACTGAAGAATAAACAATTGTGTTTAAAGTCATTCCTTCTTGTAAGACACTAATAATGATACTAATAAAGGGTTAATAATGATTTTTTAGAAACTAAATGGTTGAAACTTAAAAATTTTATAGCCAACATTGAGATTTTGCAAATGTCAGATTACCGTATTATAGATGCTGCGTTCAGAAAATGCAGCATCTGCTAAATTAGATGAAAATATACAAATTTAAATTATATATTAGCAATATATTATTTGAAATTTCCTAGTTTTTCTCATAAAATATCAATTACTTAGAATCATTATACTTAAATTATCAATTACTCAGTCAAAGTTTATCCTTAATCAGAGCCTTATAATAAAATATTTGGGTTTATTTTTTGTTAAAATTTAAATTTGTATATTTTAACCCTCTGAGCATTACTCTCCTTTTCTCAAACTTTCAAGTGCAGGCTTTCCTTGTGAGAAAACCGGTTTAACTAAGCTATTCAATGAGACAGTAGGATCAGCAGAGAAACTACTGTACAATTTTTCCCTGAGGCTCAATGCTTGTTAGGTTAAGCTAATAATTTTATTTGATGCTCTTTTTATTTAATTTTGGCAGCTTTTTTTGTGATGAAAAATTAGTAAATGGTATTTTTGTTTTACTTTATAGGTCTCAAAACCATTGTAGGAGCTGTTATAGAATCTGTAAAAAATTTGAAGGATGTGATCATTTTAACCTTATTTTCTCTATCAGTATTTGCCTTATTAGGTTTACAGATTTATATGGGAGTTTTGACTCAAAAATGTGTTCGTAACCCAGATCCTAGTGAAAATATAACGTGGGAATTATATAAATCAAATTATTCAAAAGAAGAAGGTAAGAATAAGAAATTTAGTTTTTGTGTTTTCAAAAAATGTCAATACTTATAAATGAATGGCATAAGATGTAGGTTAACAATTCCTAGAGAGATTTCACAAAACATTCTGCACTGTCATATGTAAGTTCTACACTCTGCCATTACTACATAACAGCCTTAATTCTCTACACAGTGCAGAACTTACATTCAGAACCATGTATGATGTTATGCAACTGTATGAAATCTCTCTAAAGAAAAGGTTATTGTTTTTTACAACTAGCTTCATATGTTTGCTAAAATTATAATTCACTCAAATTAAAGCCAAAGTTTTAAAGCAAGGTTTAGATAAGCTGAAGCATTAAAAGTAAAGGGGAGGAATTTGTGGTGTTGGAAAATTGTATAAAATTAAATGTGAGTGAAATTAGTTAAAATATGTTGTTGAGCATTGTTAAATTAATCAAGTTTTTTACTCAAAATCTTACTAAGCAAATCTAAAAAAAGGAAAATTAATAATAATAGAATTTTTATTGGGCTATTCCTGCTTTGCAGGCCTCTTTTCTCATTTTTTAACCCATAAAACTGGAATGCTTTAGTTTTTAAACTAATATTATGCTTATAGTAATGTTTACTTTTTAACTTTTTGGAGAAATTTTGTAGTTATCTTGATTAATTGTAAATTTGATTGTTTAATTATGAATTCAAAAAAGAATTCAAAATAATTTGGAATAACTCTATAAATTCAGTTCGTACACATAGCTCTAAGTTCACGCTCTAAACACAACCTGTTCACAAAAATACATAATACTTCAATTCCATTTACTGCTAATATTTGATACAACAGTGAGCTTAGCATATTTCTGTTCCATCAAGTTGCCATATTTGGTTTTTTGTCTTGATTGTTGTTAATTTTGTAGTAATCTATTCTTCTTGAAATAAAAATTAACTATTATTTAAAAATGCCTATCAAGACATGCTATACATAATCAAACTCATAATCACTCATAAGCAAACACCATACTCTCAGAAGTTCAAATATCAGAAAATCAAGTCAAATGGAGAATCTTTCTGAATATGACTGTCATGGTTTTTTCTTTTTTAAGTCTTTTGATGAATTGCCATTTTAAAATTTATCATATATCACAAAGGTAACGTGTGAATCAAACCAAATTTGAGTTATACCTCTGTTTACTTATATGTTTTAATTATAATAAAATCAGCTTTTCAAGAAATGTTGCCTTATGTGATAAAAAAAAGCAATAAGCTAGCTGTAAATTTTCGAATTTGAAATAAAAAATATTGAGTTTTAATGTTTTGTTTGTATTTACTTTCATTTTGGAAGTGCAATCCATATAATAAGTTCGCACTTAATAATAGGAATCAAAGTTAATGAATATATGAAACAGATTCAAATTTATGTAGTTGAGTTGTATATAATTTATTTCTATTTTTTATTAGCTAAATTTGTATATAGTGTTTTTAAAACAAAGTGTCAAAATCTTAATATATTATTTCTATGTCTTTGCAGAAAATTGGTTGAAGGAAAATGATAACTTTATTTTGTGTGGAAATTCCTCTGGAGCAAGGTCGTATTGATTATATTTTGATTATAATTTGTTATTTGGAATTTTAAGTGTAATTTGTTTCATTCATATTAGTTCTTTCATATGCATAAATTATTTGAAATGCTTAAATTTTGTGACACGTTCTAAAACATGTTACTTTCAATTTTTTTTGCTAGTTTTTTCCTTTTAAATATTTATTTATTCATTATAACTTTCATGTTCATTTTAACGAAATTATGTTCTTGTAGTCTATTTTCTGATGAATAATAAAAACCTATTTTTAGTTTTTGTATTGAAATCGTATTTGAGCAAAAACAGAATCATTGGATTTTTCGCTGCAAAACATTGCCTTTATATTTTTCCAAGTAATATTTTTCCAAGTTAATATTTTTCCAAGTTAATATTTTTCCAAGTTAAAAATTTCTTGAATATGAAGCCTTTTGCATTCAAATTAAACAAGAAGTAAATTGGAAGAAAAAAAAATTCAGTTGCAGGGAAGATAACTCAAACCAGTTTTAGTGGTTTTATCCAATTTTGAATTGTAAAGAATTCTATGTAGGAAAGAAAGGTTTTTTATGCAATGTAATTTTTTAACTACTTATCAAAACATTCAGTTTGATGTTTATCTTAATTCGGCAACAAAACAAAGAAACATCTAGAAATTTTGTCAATCAGGATAAAACAGGGGCGTGTCAGGAAGTTTAATTAAAATACTCAAAAGGCCGGAGAAAACGAATTAATATGAATTTGAGGTACTTAAGCATCCACTAAATTTTCCTAAAAACTAGTAATGCAATAATTTTTTTTAAATATTCATTTTTAATTTTAATAGCAAGCAATAAAGTTCTGCAATATATTTATGTATAAGAAAAATAATAAAAAATTTATTCCCCTAATTTCTAAAATCAGATAGTTTTTTCTGAATGTTGATGGTGACCCTGTTACTTGAAAAGTTAGACTGCTGTTAAAAATACAATACGCATTTTGTTTCAAATATATCTGATTCTGATATTTTCTTAAAATTGATATCTCATTATAGCTTTCTAATTTCAGGCAGTGTCCCCCAAATTCAACTTGTGTTCAAGGTGTTGGCCCAAATCCTAATCATGGGTACACTACATTTGATAGTTTTCCATGGGCTTTTCTAAGTGCTTTTCGATTAATGACGCAAGATTTTTGGGAGAGTTTGTATCAAATGGTGAGATTTATTACAATTTTTCTAGTGTAAAGTTTTGTTTGATCCAAATTAATAAAAAGTACTGATATGTAAACTAATGTTTACAAAATTCTATCCATTAGGCATGCACTTACAAATTATGAATGTATTGTTTATACAAAATTAATACTTTTGAATAAATTTATAACATATCTAGGACTTAAATAACATAATTTTTGTTTAACTATGTAAATAATGGCCTTTATTTTGTTTCAAACATAGGTTCAATGTCTTATTTACTTATTATAGTGTTATCATTTGGTAAAAATTATGTCTAAATCTATTGCTCTACATTCTAAATGACATTTGATGCTTTGAAAACAAAGCAAACTTTTAATGTGCAGCATGTAAAATAAAAGATGAACACATATTTAACTTTTGATCTAATGATGGAAATTACCTGTATTAAAATGTAATCTTCATTGTATGAGAAATTGATTTGAAATTTGCTTATTAATTGCAACAGGCTGTAATTCAAGTTGCAAAAATAGACGTTGAAATGTTGTTTCTCTGATTAAATGTGCTTTTTTATATATTCTAATTTTGAAACTCAAAATATAGGGTGCATTCACAATTTGGGAAATAGGATCCAATTAGAGTTGGAAGTCCTTAATATTAATTTTATTTTTGTTATAACCTCGAAACTGATTACGTAAATTTTAAAAATAATTTACACCTATTTATAAAACTTCTTTATGCAAAATTTTGAGGTTTAGGAATCTAAATCTTCTTTAAAAGTAATAATTATGCTTATTTAGAGATATTTCATATTTTTGCCTGATTTCTTCTCAAAATATCATTATTAGTTAATTAGCACATTTAAGATCTACCCCACTAACTATTAAGGCTGTTTGTTACTATATAGAAAAATCAGATCAATAGATAAAAAGTTATTCAGGTTTCCTGTATTTTATTCTGCATACTGCTAAAGTGCTAATTATGAAAAGAGCTTCAGCAAAATATTTTTACTGCAAAAACTTAAACATTTAAATTTGATAAAATTTAAATGTTTTGGTTTTTGCAATTCCATTAAACATTTAAATTTGATTAAACTTAAACATTTTATTTAAATTTTTTGGAAAATATGAATTTGATTTTCATTTTACACCCTCTAAACCGGAATTAATACCAAGCAAAATTTTCAGTTAAGACATATTTATATCTTACACTGTGTGTACGTTTTAAAAAATATAAATATTAAAATTCTATCATATTAAAATAATTCAATAATAAAACTTGAAAAAAAAGCCTTTGAAAAGGATAGTTATACCTTTTTTATTATTAATTAAATAGCTAAATTATTACAATGTGATATAAATTTTTTTTGTTATATTTTCCTTTAGTTTGCAGTGAATAAAAATTTTAATTAAATCGGTTTCGTTCGAACAATGAATGGCAGGAAACAAAGAGAGTATGAAACTGTCTATAACTTTTCTCTTTCTACAAGACTAGAATTTATCATCTTATCTTTACATTTGATAAATGTTTTAACTCTTTCAGCAATTACTTATGTATCAAACAAATTTCACTTTGTTGCAGGCGTTTAATTTAATTTGGCAGCCCTTTATAATTAAATTTGAATATATTTCACTTTTTTTATCCTGTATTTTTTTGATAAAAATATTTGTTATTTAAAAATATTTATATGTATTTGCAGGTGCTAAAAACGGCAGGCCCGTGGCATATGTGTTTCTTTGTTGTAATAATATTTTTGGGTTCCTTCTACTTAGTAAATCTAATTTTAGCTATTGTAGCTATGTCTTACGATGAGTTACAAAAGAAAGCAGAACTGGAAGAGGAAGCAATTGCAGCTGAAGAAGCTGCGTTGCAAGCAGCTGCTGATGCAGCAGCAGAAGCTGCTGCAAATCAGTTGGTAACTAAAGTTTTACTTCTGTTTACCTATTCAATATGTTTTTTAATCTATCAATACTTCATGTCGTCCAAATATTTCTGTTTATCATTCAAGAGTTTGTGAATTGTTTTTATTATTTGAATTGAAAATTTGTAATTTTTCATTCTTAACTTGTGTATTTACATTTAATTGAGTTTGTGAATTGTTTTTATTATTTGAATTGAAAATTTGTAATTTTTCATTCTTAACTTGTGTATTTACATTTAATTTCAAAACTAGTTTTCCTAAATTTATTTAAAAAAAGAGTTATTTTTAAGAATGTGTATAAGTGGAATAGAATTTGTAAAGTACAACACAATTTTTTACATCAAATGAGTTTGTAGTTTTAAAATTTACTTAAAAGTCCATCTAGTATTTTCTTCTCATATAAGTGAAAACTCTTTAGTATTATTTAATTAGTTTTGAAACTAAATGCCTAATTAGATTTTTTTCATCTTTATAGTAGAAAAAAAACTAAACATTGCAGTTTTAGGTGTGCTTCGTTCTTCTGTTCTGTAAACAAATTTCAGCAACTCGTAGTGGATTTAATTAACTTTCTTAAACTTACATTTATCAACCGATACTATTTCTCTTCATAATCCGTCAACGAAGATTAATCATTTGAGAATAAGAGATGTCTCTTAATAGTCAATTCAAAATAATCAATCTTTAATCAAGAATATTTCTTTAATAAGAGATTAATTTTTAAATCAGAAATGAATCAATAGCCTATATCATATTTACGTATCCTTATAAGTATTTACTTTATTGCAACTTGCCTATTTTTATCTTAGCTTAAATGAATCTGTGGGTGCTTCACATAAGTTTGGAAACGATCACAATTTTGTCTCTATAACTCTTTCTCTTACTTTAGCCTTTTAGAATTGCTAACATCTTTTACACATCTGACTTTTTTGCCTAATTTCATGATATCCACCTCTTCACTTCAAATTGAAATTTCAAAAATTTTGTTACTTTTACTTCTTCATTAAAGAAATTTTGCTTCTAATATGCTTCTTATTTAGTTTGTTTTCTTTTTTTACTTAAATGTTTTGAGAATTATATTGAGTACATTCTAGATTGATAGCTTAGCTCTTCTACTTTTTTCACTTAGCTCTTTTTTACCTAAAATAGTTATTCAATTTTATTTTTTTAAAACTATATATTAACCTTTTCTGTTTTGAAATCTTAACAAAAATTAGAATTTTAGAAAGATCTGCAATCTATAAATAAAATTTTATTGAATAACAATCGCTTTCTTTTTTCAATGAATTAGAAAAAAGATAGGAATTAATATCATCCTTGAAGTTTAATTTTTAATCATTTTGGGTGATTAATATTTATTTTATTTTTTTTTATTTTTATTTTAACCTTCTCTTCCTGAATTTCCCAAATTCAATCACTATTCCAATAATTCAATTATTAGAAATAGAGTTTACCCTTAAATACTGATTCTATAAGCCTTTAAAACCTTCTGAGTGATTTCATTTTATCACTGAACTTGTTGATCTTGATCACTATTTTTAAAGTTCAATTAACTAGGAATCGACTTTACTCGATTACACTGAATTAGTACACATTTAAAACTTTCAGGGTAATCCCCTTTTATCCATGAACTTGGTGATGCAAGTCACCACTTCCAAAATCCTACTCAAACAAAAGTAATTCAATTGAAAGTCTTATTCTTGTTCCTATTCTACGTTTCCTGATGTTCAATCCTTATAGGCGGAAGAGGAAGCAGCCCTAAACCCCTCACCACCCGATGGAGTGGTGAAGAGTCCATCCGGCTCTTCGGTTAGGTCTTATGAGCTATTTGTGGGACAGGAGAAGATGATGGATGAACGGGACATGAAAGAACGAGCTAGCATCAAAAGTGAAAATGGAGAAAGCTCAGAATCAAGGTCACACATGAATGGCAAAGTAAGGAAGGTAGGAGAGAAGTTATGTTATATGTAGTAGATGAGGAACAACAATCCCATTGTAGTTATCACCAGAATATAGGCACCCCCTTCACTCATCGTAGCTCATTAGGATTAATAATAGAATGTGGCATTAATATGCAGGGTGTTCAGGAAGAAAAAAAAATTTTAATTTCATATCAAACTGTATCTATATTTTTTTTTTAATCAAGCATATTCAATTTTATCTTTCAAAATTAAAGTATATATTAGCAGGATTTTTACTTAAGGCCCATATGGTAAAATATTGTATAATGTTAAAATAATGGAGAACACTGCATTCATATTTTCTGTAGAAAATGTATTACAATTTGCTTTCTAGCGCAATTTATAATTCGTTTTGTTTTTTTACCCAAAATTTATTAAATTTGTTAATTTATTAAAATGTTTTGTTCAACACCAAAATTTTAAAATAAAGAGAAAGATTTAGAAAATATGTTCAAATCATTGTGCTGTATTTTCCTCTTACAGTAATATTTTTGAATTAATTTTGTAGAAAGATGAGACTTTTTAAGGTGTTAAATCATTTTGCTTTATTAGTTATTTATTTTATTTTTTTATTTCATTTTTTATTACTCGTATTAAACAGCCCTTTACATTTTTGAGACTACCAGTTTGTAACCTTATAAGTTTAAATAACCCAAAAAACAAGGGAATTCTAAAATTGATCCTTAAACTAAATTGGCCCTTGTGAATGCACTTTTGGAAGTAAAACTAAATGGCATTTGCGTTACATGTAGAGATATACCAAATTTTATTGCCTTACGTTGCATAGCATTTAGATAAATATACAAATAGAGGAGATAGTTTTGATATTTTGATAAATATCAATATCTGCCTTGATTTTTTTTTATTCTGCTTTTGATTTTGTAAAGCATTTGCGACTTCCTGCATCATGTTGATGATACAATGCTCATGAGCAGTATTTGTCTTTAATGCATTGCATCATTTATTTATTAATTAATATTCTAAATTTTCACTTTTTCAAGCAAAGCTTTTGTGATTATATGCTGTTCTCTAAATGTACTAAAATTAAACAATACTTAACTCATATAAGTAATGTTGATATTCTAAATTTAGATTATAGTTTTTTGAGCCTTTTAAAACCTACTTTGTTTCCATATTTGTATTTTATCTACTATATTTAAAATAAGACAATAATTTTGTATGAGCTGAATAATGATATCTTTCAAAATTTTATACTTTAAACTATTTCACCCTGTATATGTGCCGAAAAGTTTTTATCAAACCACATACTTAACATTTTGGCATTCTATTATGCATGGTGCACTTTTACACTTTTCTTTCATTTCTACCTGTTTTGCATGTGCATGTTTTTGCTAATTATATACTTAACTTTTTAACTATGTATTTTTTTCCTGTCTAGTATGAAACCTTTTGCATCAAACTTTTTCTTCATCGTTGGAAACATAATGTTTAAAAATGTTTGTCTTCATTAAACTCATCTTTGCTTTTAATTGATTTGGAACATGAGTACAATAGTTTAATTGATTCTCTGACGTAAGGAGATATTTTTGTTATGGGTGAAAAATTTCATGAACAAACTTATTTATCTAGGCATAATTTAAAATAAAATATTGACTTTTTGTAATCACCATAGTTTTTAGGTTAGGCTGCATTCTATTTAATTTAAAGTTTCGGCTATTACATTTTGTACTCATTGTTTCTGACCAATCAGGTTTGAAATTATTTTATCTTTTAAAGAGCTAACAACTTTTTGGAATTATAAAATTTTAGTAATCTATTTTAACAAACCTTCATTTCTTTGCTACTAAATGTTATCTAACTGTTTTATAAACTTAAATGCGGCTGTTGTATGGATAGCTTTTGTGATTATAGCTTTTTTAAAAGTGTTTAAATTCATCAACCCCTTTGAAAAAATCCCTATTTTTATTGTTAACTGCTTTGATTTCCCTAGCTAATCCTATTATGTTCTTATTAAATAAACTGTAAATATCCCACATTTATCACTGTAAATATATCTTTCTTTTTTTTTGTACATTTTCAAGTGGGAAAACTCTTATAAAAAATAAAAACTCCTGTAAAAAGTTAAAATTTCTCCAGCTTTTAGATTAAAAATAAAGTTATATTATCATTGACTTAATTGTTGTAAAAGGTCAAATTCTGAGTGTATCTTTTGCTAGATGTGTTTAGTTATATCTCGGTGTGCTCTGTCTGAAACATAAGTTGCTTGTTTGTGTATTCCATCTCGGTGTCTTAGAATAATCTAATTGGGCATGAATTGTGTGTGTCTTCTGTTGCAAAATATATGTTGTTTGTTCATCTGTGTTGAGATTGTTACCCATTGGTGTTTAACAGATAAATCAGTCTTACGTTTGCTTGTTATTGTCAAAACAGCACATTAATCTTGGCATTTTAGACAATAATGAACGATATTTTATTGATGATTAGTATGTGGTTGCATTAGACGGGTCATGCATATCAGTCTGAATGAAAACTAGATCAACTCATTGTTCCTCTTCTATTGAAAATTTAGTTATAGGATTTTTTAGCTGAATATTTAATCGATAAAATTCGAACTATTATACAAGAGGAAGAGTGTTTTTTTTTAAATTCAAAATAAACTATTACATTTATTGTGTGTATTATATTGGTTTGTATAAATTTATATACTGTCTGATATCATATATTCCAAATAAAAGAAAGATTCTTTATAAAATGTGATGGAAATAAAAAGTAAACTTACAAAAGAAAATTTCATGTTTATCTTAAAAATTTAATTTTATTTTATTTTGATTAAAAATCTTTTCTTTATATATATATATATATATTAATCATTTTTAGCTTATTTGAAAAGGTTTATTTCAGTTACGTTCATTTTTACTTTAATTTTTCGTTAAATGTAATTTACTTTAATATAATATTTACTATAATACATTATTTTTTTACTTTAATACATAGATTTTTTTTATTAATTAATACTTTTTTTAGTGTCTATTATAAAGTACCGGTTCTTAATACTATTTATTGTATTTTGGTAATCATAACATTTCATATTAATGTTCGTTTTTAATTCTTTTATCGATATTTGAAAAAAAAAGTCTTTTTTTTATTAAGAATGAGTTGTCAGAGATTCTATTGCACTTCAAATTCAATGGAAGATCAAATTTGATCGCACTTCTTATTATACAACAAAATAAAGTATTAGGCATTCTGATATAAGAAAGCATGCAATTTTATTTATCTACTATTTTGTAATTTGTAGAATTAAAATAATAAATTCAAATATCAGATCAATGGAATTGTTAAAAATGTTGAGTAACATTCGCAACTTAATTTTTAATTTTTTTTGAAGTATTTAAATTAATGTATTTTACTTTTGCAGCAAGCACAAAAATATTTTAATATTTATAATATTTTATTGTTTCTTTGATATAAGATTGATTTGATTAAGATATAATGAATTTCATTTATCACTCATATTTATAAAAATAAATGCAAAATTAACATGGTATAAATTTCCGTGAAAGATTAGAATTATTTTTATACTTGCTGTTCTGTAAAAAAAAAACTTTTAAGTCTTCTAAAAAATGAACTTTTCAGTGAAAACTCATATTTCACTCTTCCTCTTGTCAAGCCTAATTAATCTTTCTAAATTGAAATCTATTAGCTAATGCGTTCTCATTTAAATATGTAATAGTAAGGTAGATTTGAAAACGAGAAAATTTTTTTGCAGTGGGCGATTTTAAAATGTCATAACCATGATCAGGTAATTCATATTCTTTTTATGCGATATGTATATTTTTGTATGTGTGAATTGTGCAATTTGAAAAAAAAAATGAATGTTCAATAATTGATACTTAATATTCTGTATATTGAGAATCTAAAATCTTTCAATATTATAATTATCTTTTTTGCAATATGTTCTTTCTCGTAGTTTATCTCATACTAATCACTCTTCAGTAGTCAATTTAAAGTATTCCTACTGTAGATTAAATCCTTCATAGGTTCTCGTAGTACTATTCAATCATATTTTTATCATATATTTGTCGTCAAAGTAGAAATAATTAGAATTACTATTGCATTCAATGAGCAGATGTAGATAGACAAAGTATTAGTTCCAGCAATTGAATAGACAAATAGACCCTTGTTTAGTGGGCTGTCAGTTGACAATTCAATACTTAATAATGCTGTAATTACTAAATCATCAAAAGCTGTTTTCCAATCAGTTTAGTATTCCTGTGGGCAAATTCTAAAATATTTTACAGTTTTTTACAGAGTTAATGGATAACTCATTGGTCTTTGTAAAATGTTGCGCCTAGGAAAGTAAGAAATGTATCCAAGATCAACAATGCAAACTTTAAAAAATTATCCAATTTTGCTATAAAAAATTTAGCATAAATTTTGTTAATTTGTACTAACCAATCTTAGTTGTATTAACATTAACTTGTTTTGGTAAATACGGGTCACGCAATTGAAGATCATTTCAATGTATTTTGATTATCTCCCTCTTTTTCTCTTTTTGTCAAATTTGGTTTATGATACCATTTGATTAGCTTGCTTTAAGTACATCATGTTCAATTTGTCAATTTTGACGCTTGTGTGGTCAAATGCTACATTAAATTCAGTATTAGACTTAAAATGTTGACTAATAAACAGATTTGATTTATTGTCTGTTAACAAGTATGGATTGATTTTTTTATCATTTCTACAGGCAATTATTATAGATTACGATTGTGTTGATGAAGAAATAATGTTAATTATAACAATATCTGGGATTTTCTCTTGTACAAAATATTTCTAAAAGCAATCATAGAGAAGTTCTATAGTCTTTAGAATTGGATGCAGTTTTAAAGTCAATCTTTTTTCCTTTTTTTTTTTTTCTTTTTTTTTTTAGAATAAAAAACAATCTAGAAATTATCATTGGTATTGATCAATCTTGGTGTTTCAATCTTACTTATCTTTGATTGAATGGGAAGCTTAAGAAATTGTGACTACCTGTAGAATAAGAATTATTTTTAGAAAGCAAAAATAATTTTAGCTAAACTCTAAAATACAGTAATAAAAATGATTTCCTATTTGTAATAGCAATTTAATTATTAACCAGGACAATATTCTGCTATTCCATGTAGTACCTGGTTCCTTTTACAAAGATTCTGAGATAGTTAAAAGTGTATTTGATTATAATTTTAATAAATAGTTCTACACAGTCTGTTTCATGTTAAAAATTCTTTTTAAATTTGTGAGAGTAAAAATATATATAAAATAGGGTTATTTTTATGAAACTGATATTACAAAAAAGTACATTTCACCCCACTGAAATTTTAAACTATTAAAAGTATGAACAGTTTTATTATTCTCTTACAAATTATAATTAATTTGTCAACTGACAAACCCAGTGGTAGAATTCAGGTAGTAGTCATACTCATTCAGCCATCTTTTAATGAAATCCTGCTTGACTTTAATTTTTTTATTAATTTGCATGAACCCATTTTAGTGCAAGTTTTTTTTTTATTTGTTTATTTCATTTTAAATTTTTTTTCTACTTTATACCTTATTATTATGTTCGTTTACTCATTTTATTTTACTTTATAAGTTTCTTTATATAAATCATTTTCTCAAAAAGAATGCTCATTCCTTTTTAAATTTATCAGAAAAGAGTATTTTAGAAAAGCTTTTAAGAATGATGGATTTACCTCGAACTTTTTCTTTTAATAGCTCTAAAACTTTACTTTGGTTAATTTTAAATTGAATATTCTTTAGAGACATATATATTAAGTCAGATTAAATTCTTTCTTTGTGAATCCAATGAAATCTTAAAATATGTTTTTCATTTTAACAAAATTGCAAACAAACAACAAGCAATCAATATAAAAAGGAATGGGTTTTGTTTTAATTATTGATTATAATTTGCTTTTACACATTGCTAAGGTTTTTGAATAAACTTCAGATGGCTGATTAACCATAACATTAGGGTCAGGTATATTTACAGTTCAGCTTCGTTCTAAAAGTTCACTGGTATTTTGCTGATTTGCCCCAATCTCAGATGATCCGGCTACTTCATAGAAAATGCCAACACTTGTAAGTAAAATATGCACTTGTTTTGTGACTTAAACACTAGAAAATATACCTATAGTCTCAAACAACTTGTTAAATTTATATTTTGATATTAAATTTTTGGATATGGTTCTGAACTTTATGGACAAAATTTAACAGAAATTTTTAATACTCAGTTTATTTTAATTTTAAGTAGAATGCTATTTATATTTTCTTTAGATATTTTTTCGTGTCATTGTTATTTTATGTGTAATTAAATCCAGACATTAAATAATTCATAATTTTATTTGTTAATAATACATTGATTATCTTATCATGCAGTTAAGATATTAACATCTATATTCATTAATTAAAAAAATTTTAATTCATGTATTTTATTTTTCTAATTATTGCAGATTACAATCGTAATTATCTCATGTAAATAATTTTTAATGAAGTATTTAACAAATAGATCATAATAATATTCATTTCAATTATGATTTCTACATTTTTATTATTTTTTAATTATGATTTTAACTTAATTTATTATTGTTGTACATTTTGCTTTATAGTATATTAAAAATATTATTTTTGTTACGCTTCTTAACTTGTTTTGAGTGTATACTTTCTCCTTAATGCTTATTCTTCCAATTGTTAACTTTGTCAAGTTTTCAACAAAAAAATACTTATTCTGCTATTACTTCTATTTTTATGTTCACAACTTTACATCAAAAACTAAAACTTCTTGTTTATTTATTTTTTTCTTAACAGCTTATTCTTCGCATAACACTTAAAAAATACTTCTATTCTGCTGTAATATGTGTTTTGTGCCTTTTATTGATAACATGTATTTCTTTTTTAGCTCTTCTTGCTTTGCTTTAAGGCTAAATGCATTGCTTTCTAGCTTTAAAGCTGCCATTATATTTCTGCAGAAATTTGCACTCAGCACATAGCACTTATCCTCAAACAAAATTAATTAATGTTAACTTAATCTACCAAAGATCACTAATCTATTAGCAGGTATAAGCTTTGTAAAATATTGTATAACCTTTTTTTTACACTAACTGTGACCAAATAGCAAATATTACTTTTTTTTAAAATTATTTGGTATTATTTTGTTTGGGGATCTTTGTAAATATTATAAATTATCATTTTGGCTCATGTGTACATTGCTTGCTTTTGCACTAAAAATTATTTTTCTATTCTCATACCCACTGAATTTTAATGACTTTAATGAAGTACCATTGAAACCAATAGAGTCATTTTGGTTACTTTTACCCGTTAACTTTTACAACCCAAATTCATGTGAAGTTGCTGAGGGCAAGGTGTCTGCTGAAATAATAAGGCAAGAGAGATAAAAAGCCGAAGCTATCTCATAATTTTAGAACCAAAATAATCTCAATTTTAGGCCAGCCTAAGTCTTCCTGGTTCTCCATTTAACATTCGGCGTGCAAGCCGGGGAAGTCAGTACAGCGTCAGCTGGCGTAATGGCCGTCGCTATGGTGACAGAAAACCTCTGGTCCTGAACACCTACAAAGATGCTCAGGAGCACCTGCCGTATGCAGATGACAGCAAGGCCGTAACTCCTATGTCAGAGGAGGATGGAGCTATTGTGATCCCTGTTCACTACACTAACTTAAATTCAAGGCACTCTAGCTATACATCTCACTTATCCAGAATATCATACACATCTCATGTAGATGTTTATAGCCGGGGTTTGACAAAGGAGGACCAGCTACGGTCACGCTCAAGAAACTTGCAAGGCCTTTATTTTGAGGTTACACAACTTTTGCTTCAATTTGTAAAAGACATGACATTTTTTTATTTCATCCATAAATATTATATCATAGCATAGTGATTAAGTTTAGCAAAATTTTAAAAAAAAGCAGTTATGTTGTAACACAAAATGCAACTTTTCTTACATCTTTTTTTAAAACATATAAACCTCGTTATTCTCACTTTAACCTCTTCAATTTTAAACAATTTTTCATGTATAAATTTTTTTATGGATAAAAAGCTCCTGAAATAATTTTTTTTTGTTATATATTATTTTTTGTTATATATTATTTTTTGTTATATATTCATTCAGATATCTTCTTAAAATTACATTGAAGCTGTGGAAATAGAAGTTTAAACAGTATAAAAATCCAAATATTTTAGTAGAGTTTTTTGACAAGAACTATAAATGACTAGCTGTCTAGTAAAAAACTTATATACATACACCTTGTTGACCAAAAAAATCTTGTTAAGTAAATTTTAGTGCTTGCTAATTAAGACAAAATATTGTGCTAAATTTAGATGTTCGCATAATTCTTCTGGAAACAAAAGTAAAACTCAATACTTTTTGACCATGAATCAAAATCATTACATGGCTAACTTATAATGCATTACAAAGGACAAAATATTTGTTATAAATGGATCGCTCATTGTAAAAATGAAGTATGTCATTGTAACAGTTACTTTATATTGAAAGACATCATTAAATACAGTACAATAAACAAAATATCTGTGTTTTAAAGAAAATGGAAACTGCACCATATTTACAATAATTGACACAAGTATCAGTGGAGCTCTATGTGGGTAGAAATACAGATGTGTGATTTTGTGACCTTACCTTATTATTCATATCAGTTTGAACAGCATGTATTCGATATCGCTAGTATAAATACTTAAACTGAAATGAACTTAATTTATACCTGTCTTTGTTATTCATAATATTAAATTGCAGAATTCAAATTGGTTTTTAATTGGTAGAAACAAAATAGGCTAGCAGTCTATAATTAATTAATTATAATAAAATGAAAATGCTATGTGCATTATGTAATGTTTAAATAAATATATTCTAGATAAGTAAAACGACAATAATAGCAGTTTTGACTCAAAATCATAAATGTTATTTGTTTAAATATAATGCTACAACTCTAGTGATGCATCTTTACTGTACTTTAAACCCGTTTAAAATTTTAATCGCCTTTTAAATTGTGTTCTGAGTGTTGTTATGTACTAGCTTTCTCTGAACTTAATGCTAGTGACATACCTCTATCAAAAACTGCTTTCCCAATGTTATTCAATAGGAAAATAGCTTTTAGCCCAGGAAAATTTCAGTTCAGTACTCTAAGGTTCCTTATGTTTGGACGGTTAAATGTGTTAAATAATTACACATACTTTCATAATTTGCAAAAAAGATTAACAGTATTAAAAGAAGTTAAGTTCTTTAGTGATGTGATATATCAATCAGTGCAAATTTCAAAGTATTAAACATAAGTTATAAGCTTGATTGGTGATGTAATAATAGCAACTCGTCAACTAGCCTAATTATGCTTGTAAATTCTTAAAAGTATATTAAAATTTAAAACTTTTATTGTATCAAAATTGTAACTGGAGTATGATTTTTGAGGTTGTTGAGGAGTTCTCATTGTAATCAGGTTTAATTTAAATGAAGTATGTATGAAATATAAGAAGGAATGTTAAACAAATTCTCCTATTTAGGGGATCAATAAATACTAATGCTGTTCAATCACGAGTTTATTGGCAACATTCATTGAAAGTAGGTGATCAAAATCACCCCTTTTTTAGCTGTACTTCCAGATTTTGGCAAAAATTTTGTATTTCAGTTACTTGTAAATAGTTCATTAGGTTCCTTGTAAATCAGTTTACTAAGAATTAAACTGACAGTTTTTTAATTATATTTAAATTTATCTTACTTAGAGAAGTCTAATTTTTTTATATTTTGCAATAATAAAAGTTTTTTTTAATTAGCAATTTCTTAATTAGTTATTTGCAATAAATATAATAATTAAAAATTATCTGCATTAAAATTTCAAAATATAAACTTTTTAACATAAAATTTATTGTTTGTATCGGTCTATGGTCTGAGATTTAAACAACATAAAAAAAGTCAAATAATTGATTCATACTGATTGTAGCTTAATACTTAACAATTTAATTTTCAATCTAGTTGCTCTATTGTACAACAATCAAAGGGCCAAATACAATCTTTTAAATAATTAATTTGCAATAATATGTTTTTATGTTTGATGCAAAGCTACATTAAAGATCAAAAAAATAATTTTTCAATATAAAACTTATTGTTTATTTTAACCTTTAGTCTGAGATTGAAACGTTGCAATAAAGTTCAATATTTAAATCATACTGTTTAAGCTGTTGTCTTTCTGAAAACTTTTCATAAATTTTGTTTTAAGCATCATAAAAATATTGTGTTAATATGTTATAAGTGTTTTTTTGGTGAAATGTATCAATAGTTATTTATTACTGTCAGCTCAATTGAGTTCTCAAATAGAAAAACATTTTTTTTTATTGATGTGAAAACATACTAATGCAGGAAAGTTTTGTACAAATTTGTCCTTGTAGCTTTCCAGTTAAAATATTTTTTTTAAAAAATAAATTTTCCTTGTTTCATAAAAAAAAAAAAACAGTATTTATGAATAAAGTTCTTTCTGTATAAATAGTTCCGGAGTTAAAAACAATTTTTTTTTATTTCTTTTTACAGGATTCTCCTGACTCAGATGAATGTATATTATCCAAAAAGCCCACAGATAGTCCATTTTCAGATCCCCATATACAAACAGTTGTAGATATGAAAGGTATTTATCACTAAATTATCTACACCTTCTATTATTGGTAGTAATTTTAATTCTACTACATTTCTAATTTTAGCTTAAACAGTAAAACATGACGAAGAAAAAAATGTGTTTGTTATCACTAGTGACATTCAAAATAGTTTATAGAATTAATGATAAGCTAATTTTTTTTCTGAAATGAAATACTTACTATTAATTATCAAAATCAGTTTTCGCAAGTTTAAAAAATTATGTGAAGCTCTAAAGTAACTTAAATCTAAAAAAAAAATTTATTTTGTAGTAATTCAATCTATTATTCAATTTTCTAATATTTAAAATTACGTAAATTTAGTAATTTAAAATTACTTTAATTTTGTTAAATTTCAAAATTTAAACTTACATTTTGTTTTAAAATTTTATATTATTTTCGACGTGGTTTCTTACCAAATTTGATTTGCAGCTGTCTATTTCAGACGAATCGAATACGTTTTTCTTTCATTTTAAGGTACATATTATATTATGGATTCAATGTAATTTACATGTTATGATACCTTACTTTAAATAAGAAGTTATTTTTGTTTCATCTTGCATGATTTAGGCAAAATGCTTATAAAATATTAAGTGATTAGAACAACATAACACATGATTCATGGAGTGAAATCCAAATAATATTGACATTCTTGCCGAATAGAGTATGTGATTTCGAGTTATAAAATAAATATACTATAAGTTGTACTATAAGAAAGAAGTCATATTAAGCCGCACTTATAAATACGTTACATGTCATGGTAATTTACATGTTATGGTGCATTTCTTTAAATGAAGTTATTTATGACTAAACTTAGTATACAAGATGCACATAAAATTATGTGAAGCATCAAGAACTGCATAACATGGGATTTATTGAGTGGAATCTAAAAAATAGTGACATACATTCCCAACCAAAATATAGGGAGTGAATTTATTTCATATATATATTCTGAAAGTTCCCAATATTGCAAAATTCGGTGCTTCATATTGGACAAGAACATAAGCTCGTATTCAGCCGTACTTGTAAATATGTTACATGTAAGAGTAATTAACATGTTACAGTGCATTTCTTTGAATGTGGAAGTTATATATAACTCAACCAAATATACAAAGTACACATAATATAAAGTGAAGTATTTAGAGCTACATAGCATGTGATATTCTGGGTGGAATGTTAAGAAAAATTGACTTGTGTGTTCAGTAGAATACGTAATTTTAATTTATTTGAAAAAATATATACTAAATGTCGCCAATATGGCAAAATTTATTTTTTCAAGTTTAATATTCAGTGTCTTGAATATATAAATGGCAGGCATACTCAACCAGATTTGCAAATATTAAGAAATGCTACATCTTATAGTTAAAAATGCATTATTTAAATTTATTATTACCTCTTATAGTTAAACATTTATTATTTCAGTTTATTATTCATGGGCGTAAAGCCCCCAATTTTTCTAGTATTGTAATTTTTAGCATTCAATTATTTTTTTTAGAAATTTAAACCACGAACTTAGAGTACCATGTACACCATATTTTTTACATTATTTCCAGTGCATCACATGCTATGTGACTTTAAACGTTGCCGCCATATTGAGCCACATTTGTAAATATTAATAAATTTTACTATTTATTGGTAAAAAAAAAGTTATTTTTTTGTTTCTGTCTACAAATCTGTATTGATTTACTGCACAACTTACTTAACTTTTGGTTTTAAATTATCTTTTGTTTCATAAATTAAAACTACATTCTCTATTTAGCACATGTGCCAATTTTTTTTTACATGTTGCCTTGTACATTATATGCCATGTGGCTCTAAACATCTTACATTATTTTATATGCCTCCTATATTGCAAGCAAATATATTGTACCCTATATTATTTTATATATATTGCAACTTTGATGTGCTGGATATTAAATTCTTCCTAATTTTCTTAGGAACCTGCAACCTCATTAACCTTCCTTGTCCGGAATTATTTTGATATTCCTTGATTATAAATGAAATATATTTGTTTATTATATTTTATTTTTCAGATCTCATGGTTGTAAATGACATCATCGAACAGGCAGCTGGAAGACAGAGTAAAGATAGTGAGAGAGGTAATTATTTGGGAAATAGCTATCATCTGTAGCTAGTTATGGTGGTTTTAAGTTTGAAAAGTAGATGTAGAGCTCTATCTCTCTTTCTCTCTCTTTTTCTTTCTGCATACTCTCTGATGAATAATATTTAAATGAATGTATGTAACTGTGTGCTTTCTTCATCTATCTTGTGGATGGCAGAGCAGCCCTTCTCCGCATGTTTGTATGCTCTGTTATGCTTAATGTCTGTATGCTACAAATTATGTGTTTTGAGTAATTTCAACTATGTTACTGAATTAAAATATATTTAGTAATCTCATCAAATTTTTTTTTAAAAAAATATTTTGTCAAGTGCTTTTAGGATACATTTTTGTCATACAGTGGTAGTTCAAGTATTAATGCTTAAATATTTAACGTTTCAAACAATTTTTTCTATAAAAATTTTTTTTTAAAAAATTCGTCCTAAGACTGCAATTTTGAAAATATTAACTTTAGTTAAATAAAGTTTTAATTATATCTCTATAATAGTTAAATTTCATAATTAAAATTTCATATTTTTATACTTTTACTTTTTAGTTACATTAGTTTTTAATAACACAAAACATACTTCGTTTAAGCTTGAAATTGTGAATAAGTTTTAAAATTTCCAATTGTAATTTCTTAAACTGTCAATTTTTATTATATTTTAAAAATTAATAAGAAAATGAAGCATTTCATTTGTTGTGCTAACTATAAATTTTTTTATTAATTATAAAATGAAAAATGTGCTTACAAATAAGACGTAAACTAACTCAATAAGTTAAATAATTTAATCAATATAAGTTTAAATATTTTATTTATACCAGACTTAGGAATCAATAATTTATTTAAAAACGTATAGTATATAAATTTTTTTATAAAATTGTAACAAATATTTTTATTTATTTTATTTATTTCACAAGTTTAACATGAGTTAAATAAAAAAATTCTTCTCAAAATAACATAATTATGTAGTTTATCATAACTATATATTTTATTTTCATACAATCATGACTTTGATTATTCTTTTTTGACTTTTTAATTGAAATGGATTAAATTTTTTTAAAAACTCAACACTAAATTATAAACTTTTTGTTCTGTCTTTTTCTTACTCAGTGTGATTTCTAATCTTATTTAAGAAAAATAAAATTTTATATAAAACTTCCAAATATTATTGTTTATAGTTTTTCAAAAGTATTGGAATATTGAAGTTTTAAATTTAAGGGGAGAAAAAACTTTGTATGGCAAAGTTGTTAAAGGTGACAAAAAATTATGTCTCGCTGTGATTAAATATTTAATTTGGTTTGCAATGTCTTATTTTTTTTAATTTTTATATGATTAGAATTTTATTTGATTTTATTAAAAAGTCATAGATGATTATTTCTTTTCATAAATAATTAATATGCGATTTTATCTTCGAATAGTAAAGTTAAATTATTAGATACGTAAAAATTTGATGAAGAAAATAAATTGTTTTTTTTCACTGCATAATATAACTAAAATTTTTACATTATTCAGATAGGTATTGATGATAGTTTAATTCTTATGTTATCTTGATTTCGGTTTGAAAATTAACAATGCTTACTTTACCAAATAACAATTTTCAATTGTCCTTAAGCATTAATTTTTCATTAATGAATTACAAAGATTCATAATTTACAACTAGAATATTTATTTGCTATTTAATTTAACACATTTTAGTAATAATAGTTGTTTTTTACTAGCATTAAATTTGTAATTAGTGTGTTGCAAAAATATTGTCAATAATATTTATTATTATTTAATATGTTGTTATATAACTATTTTAATTTTTATTGTTATGTTTGTTGTTAATTAAATAATATTGCTACTAATTCATTAATGTAAGTAATTTTGCTGCTAAGTTATTGATTGTGTAAAAAATGTTATTATAATATTATTTAAATAATATTTTTAATTCTTTAATGTAGGTAAATTTGCACCTAAGTTAATGGTTGTGTCAAAGAAATTTATTATAATATTATTTAAATAATATTTCTAATACTTCAATGTTTGTAGTTTGAAGCTAAGTTATGGATTATGTAAAAAAATTATCATATTTATATGCATTGTTAAGCAGTTTAAAATTCTTTCTGTTACAGTAGCCTATTTTCATTATCATAACTACTCTTTCTTTACATTATTTTCTATTTTGTTTTATTTTGTCACTATCAATAATCTTGTAGTGGATTTATACCATTTTAGTGCTTGTGTTTGTTATAAATTTAAATATCTATTGGAATAAACTTGATTTGTTATCCACAAATCAAGTTTATTTCTACAGATAGGATTTAAAGTGAAGAAAATTTCTATGTATAAGTAATTCATATTTTTTTCCACTAAGAGTTTTTTAAACAAAAAACAATCGACTTAAAAAAAATTTAAAAAAAAACTAGTTTAGTAGATTGAAGATGTTGATATTTAATATTTGAAGAAACCTTATTTTGTGATAACAGCAGAAAGTTTAAATTTTCTAGGGTTTTTGACAACACAGTTAATAAGGGCAAACTAAGCTTTAATTGCTTGATATTTCTCAAACCTATGCTTTGAAACTGATTAAAATACTATCTAACGGTAGAATTTTTATTAAATTTAAAAGTTGTTTTTTAAACAAAAAACGATTGGCTTAAGAAAATTTTAAAAAAAACTATTTTAGTAGATTGAAGTTGTTGATATTTAATACTTAAAGAAACCATGTTTAGTGATAACAGCAAAAAGTTTAAATTTTGTACTGTTTTTGACAACGCAGTTAATAACTACAAACTAAGCTTTAATTGCTTGATATTTCTCAAACCTATGTTTAGAAGCTGATCAAAATACGATGTAACGTTAGGATTTTTTTTTTAATTTTAAATGTTGTGTTTTTTAAACAAAGAACAATTGCCTTAAAAAATTTAAAAAAAAACTATTTTAGTAGATTGAAGTTGTTGATATTTAATATTTAAAGAAACCATGTTTTGTGATAACAGCAAAAAGTTTAAATTTTGTACGGTTTTTAACAACACAGTTCATAAGTGCAAACTAAGCTTTAATTGCTTGATATTTCTCAAACCTATGTTTAGAAAATACAATGATCAAAATAAAATGTAGCGTTAGGATTTAAATGTTGTGTTTTTTGAACAAAAAACAATTGCCATAAAAGAAATTTTAAGAAATAAAATATTTTAATAGATTGATATTTGTTTGATAGTAAAAATAAATAAATTAATAAGTAATATCTAGATTTTATTACCTGTTAATTAACTACTGTACTATATAAATAATGTGTGCTACTAGTTAATAAACATAATAACGCATATTAACCATACAAATGAAAAACAAACATTTCTCATCCCAGTTCTTCTAATGCAAATTTTTCAACTCTATGTTTTCCAAAATAATGCATTACTCGTCAATTTATTTATAAATACTAAAATACATCATCATAAATCCATACAGAAAAAGTGTAATTTGAATGAATATATCTTTTTTCTTAAGGTAAAGAGAGATCAGTACTATTGATTTGAGGATACATTCTTTGCATCTGTATACTGGGCATTCCAAAAGTAGACAATTTGATAAATCAATTGAAGAAAAATAAAGGTTTTTTTCAGTTAGGAGCGCTATATGTTTACTAATTCTGTTGCTACTTAAATGATTTTCTAAGCAGCGTATAGCAAACCATGCATTTCTATCTTCCTGCATTTTTCTGTAAATGATTTTTCAAATTATTGGTCACATTTAAAACACCCAATATGTAGGGCAGTATTTAAGAGGGAAGGATAGGGAGAATTATCCTGATGCTCAGTTCAGGGGAGAGCTCAGTTGAAATACTTAACTAAATGGTTAAGTTTTTAAGTAAATTGGCATATTTTTTTTTGCAATTAGATTTACCACAACTTAAAATAAATCATAATATAACCCAATAAACATAAAGTTTTGATGAAAACATTACACTTATAAAACAATTTGAAGTTATAAATTTCATATGTTTAGGAAAATTCACACTTCGGGGATCAAAAGGTCAATTACAGTGTAAAAGAAACTGGAAAGTTAGATTTTTTGTGTTTTAAGGAAAGGCTTAATAAGGAATTTTGACACAAGGCCTATAAAATGTGTGTCTAACCTTGCCAATATATTTATGATGATTTATTTTAGAAGAGCTAAATAAGCATACAAATAATTATTTGCTATGTATTTAATTGAAGTATTGATATATGTTTGGTGTTCTTTGTTGAAGAAAAAGCATTTTCTGCTCTGCCACGTATCCTGCATGTTTGGGCTTCCTTTTGGTGTTGTGCTGTATTACAAATTCATCCAGAGGCTACAGAATGGCAATACTTAAACATTATTCAGTATCCGTTTATTATTTTCCTACAGAAAGAGAGGATGAGGATAGACCTAGATTCAAGGAGCGCTGTTTGGCGAGTTGTTTGAAATGCTTAGATGTCTTCTGCGTATGGGACTGTTGCGAATGCTGGGTTCGCTTTCAAGAATTTATCTCACTAATAGTCTTCGATGCTTTCATGGAGCTCTTCATCACTCTTTGTATAGTCGTGAATACCCTCTTCATGGCTATGGATCACCACGACATGGATCCGGATTTCGAACAATTCCTCCGTTATGGAAACTATGTAAGTGGGGGTTGTAGGAAAAGCATTTTTCTGTAAACCCTCAATGACACACATATCTTTCTGCATTTTTTTAATTCAATTTTTATACCTATGAGTGAAAAAAAAGTTTCATTCTTCTGGTGGAATTAAACCTTTAGTTAAGAGAAGTGCTTCAGTTTTGTATTGAAATTTTAATAGCAAACTTGTGATATTTTAGTCAATAATTAAATCAATTTTGTTCTTATTTTTTCTTTTCCAATTTTGAGGATTTTGGTTTGTCAATGCAGCAAAATTTTGTTTTATTCAGAACAACTTCTTTTAAACTTCAGTAAAGTACCATAAATTTTACTATAATAAACATACCACAAAATTTCTTATTTATACAATGAAATTTTAAAGTATTTAATCATTTAAAGTAATGAATTTCTTATTATATTAATGCACTATTAAGTTAAATTTTTAAAGTAATTAAAGGGATATATCCAGTAAAATTCATGACATATTATTTATTTATGGTTCTTTAAGAAATTATAACCTTACAAATGCTTAATTTCTTTTTATAACCTGCAATTTTTGAATTGATCAAATTTATTCAAAAATTATGAAGTAAATTTAAAAATAAACCTTTATTACTCATTTCATTTTATGAAATTTTACCTTTTTTACATAACATGGGAAGATATTTTGAAAATAAAACTGAAAAGTATATAGAGATTTCTGTATGTCCCATTTGAATAATCATTCTCTATAGTAATTTTGGCTAAGCATCTTTCTACTACTAAATCCTAAAAGTAGGAAACACTTAATTGAAATTAATTCTCATCAGATTGACTATGTTTATGAATTATGATTATTTCATAGTATTGGCAAAATAGCATAGTTATTTGCATTCTTTAAAGAAAATGGAACTTAAAATTTTCTGAATTAAAAGCTAAATTGTTTGGTTAAATATAGTATGGATGCCTTATTTTAAAGAATTACAGTTGCGAGCAAAGAGCCTGTTAAAAGAATAAATTGTGCTTATATTCTCTTTTTAGTTCTTTACAGCTACTTTTGCAGTAGAAGCTGGCCTCAAATTAATAACATTAAGCCCAAAATATTATTTCCGGGAAGGTTGGAATATTTTTGATTTCTTCATAGTTGCCCTCTCTCTACTAGAGTTGGGATTAGAAAATGTTCAAGGTCTTTCAGTTCTCAGATCATTTCGTTTGGTAAGTTTGCATTTACATTTTCAGTAAATCTGAATATGACTTTTTCTTGTTTTTGTGGTATTGTTATTGCAAAGCAGGTGGTCACAACCTGCTTTGCACAAAACAAAATATTTGAGTTTCAAATATTTAACTTTTCAAACTCATAATGCCAATGGCATCAATCGTCTAAAAAGATGTACGAAAACAACACCTTTTGCTTCTAAAAACAGTAATTAAGCCTGAAAAATGTGCTTTAATTATTCACCTAGTGGTTACTTTCAAAATTTCTCTAATAAGGAAAACTATTTACAAAATTAAGGTGGAATTTTTTTTTCTCAGACCAATGTGTTGCTTAGCAACTATGCAGACAAAATCTGACATCAATGGGAAAACTAAGAAAATTTGCTAAACTTTTCAGGTATCTTGCAAAGTAAAAGAATTTAATAAAATTCCCCTTTAATTGGATGTTATTTGATAAAATTTTCTCTAAAGAGTGTTCCATTGTGAAAAAAATTAATTTTTGACACAATGGAAAATTGGTGTTATTGCATCACTGCATGTCATTTGGTTGATAGCATTTGTAAATCTAATTTTAAGATTGCTAGGGGAAATCAAAAAATTTTTATGAAATTTTTCACTGTTACCTCGGAAAATGAGTTGAATTTGAGAAGAAAAGAAATTCCTTTGAATAGTGGGTTATTTTGCAAATTTTCCCTTAAACAAACAAAATGTTCCCTTGTAAACAAAATTAATTAATTAAAAATTTTTGGTGTTGCTTTATCAATGTGTACATTGATACATAGTCAGAATTTTTCATTCTAATTTTAAAATATTTGGAGAACTTTAAGATTATTATTATTTTGCAAAGTTTAATTTTTATATTTAACATATTTTCTAAACTTTTTAATGCAGGTAAGTAAAATTTGTGAAATTTTCAATACTAGAGCTTACCAGTTAAAAAACACATAAATAATATGTTCCATTTATGTACACAGATATTATTAGCCTGTGGTAAATAGCCTTTGGCCACATATTCAACTTTTTTATTACTATTATGTATTTAAAATTATATCTTTTTAACATTTTTGAATTATGTTTGAGATTCTTAAAAGTTCATCTAACATGAATATGTTGAATCTTAATAAATGATTTATCTTTATAATTTTTTTATACAATATTTGATTATTTCATAAGAAATAAACTAAAGAAATCGACATTACATTCTTTTTTTTAAGCAGTACTTTAAAGTACTGAAAAATAATAGGCTTCTGTGTGGTTGAATGATTAAATAGCTTTACTTATATAAAATTAAGCTGAGAATTTTAAACATCCTTTAATGCAATAGATATGTTTACATAAATTTTTATGAAATTATTCTACATAGAATATATTTTATTTATTCAATTATTGTTTAATGAAATACATTTCTTTATTTACTAATTTTTTGTATCCCTATTAAATTACTAAAATGGGGAATGCTTGCACTTTTTGAGAAATTATATTAAAAATATAACTCATACTTAAAAGACTGAGATAAAAAATTTTAAAAAAAAGTTTAAATGCACTCACTGAAAGACTAATTTTAACTTATTTAGATATTACAAAAATATAAAGTCATTATTTTTAATATTTGAGTCTGTTATTTTTATTTCTTTTTTTAATTTACTTACAGCTTAGAGTTTTTAAATTAGCAAAATCATGGCCTACGTTGAATCTTCTCATTTCAATTATGGGAAAAACCATGGGAGCTTTAGGAAACTTGACATTTGTTTTAGGAATCATTATCTTTATTTTTGCTGTGATGGGTATGCAACTGTTTGGAAAGAATTATGATGAAAAGAAACATTTGTAAGTATTATTTCGTTAACTAGTTTTATAAAAAAATAATGTGTTAGACAGATGCATTCTGGATTGACTGAAAATAAGGGATTTTCAATGCTTTATGATTCGTAATGCATAACAGTGACGAAATTGATTTTTAATATTTAGTAATATCCAACTAAAATATTTCTGAATTAGTATCTTCGCCCCCTGTAAATGAAGTAAAATAAGAAAAAAATGTATATTACTTAAAATATTGGTATGTTATAGCAAGAAAATACTGCCTTTAACCCCCTTGTCGTTGTCACCTGATACCCGCTGTGCCAAAATTTTGATAATTGAGTTTTATTTTAGCCTCCATTTTCATTTTATCAAATGCTTAATACAAGGTAATTTTTACAAGGGCCAAAAAACCTTCCTTTGCTTTAGAAGGTTTTTAAACAAAACCTGACTGAGGTAATTAAAGTACCATGTATATATCAATAACATGCTTCTATCTTATTTTAAATGAAAAGACTGTTTTGTGCTTTTATAGGACTCTGGTAAGGAACATGTCTGTACAATTCGATCCAATAGATAAAGTTTTTAAAGATTACAAATAAGAGTAAAATTTGGATGCATTAAAGTAACATTTCTACACTATTTCGAAATTCTAATTGTGAATTTACTAATACACAAAAATTAATCATTTAAAAAAAAAAAAAAAAAAAACTACTTTTTTAACCTCGTTTTTCGCCCCCAGTGAGAGGGAGGGGGGATTTAGAGTAAGAAATTAATTATTGCTGAATATCATCAATATTGCTGAAAATTCACATTTTATGCATTATATATAATTTTATCATATTCAGCTGAAATTGATCTTTATTTACTGTGCCTTAATAAAAAAAAACGTATTTTATTTTAAATAGACAATTTTAACTGTAACATTCAAGTTTATGAGATAAATATAAATTCTATTTACTATATGAATAGTATGTATAGATAAATAATAAGCAAAATTAAATTTACAATGATTTATAATTGCTTTTTGATTTAATTGGTTGTGAGATAAAATCAGAGATGATTGTGCTCTGAAAAAATCCTGATTTCCGGATTTTTCGTTAACCGATATCCGGAAGTTTCCGGAAATCCAAGGTCCAGAAGTTTCAAGACATTATTGATCACATTTATGTATAAAATTTCTTTTATATTTTATTTAAAAATATTAGAACTAGAATTTATACTTGACATCTCTTTCATTTTTAAATATTTTTTTTCTGGTAGAATGTGATTAGAGATAATAATAAATGTGATTAGAGATAAAAATAAACTCATGCATAATTATTCATCTAAATTATGTTGCATTTTATTTAGAATTTCATGTTTTGAAAATATAAATGATTTAAATTTATAAAGACATTAATTTTTTGAAATGCTTCATTAATGATTTTACTCAAGAAATTTTCAGGATTTTTGAGTTGGACTCACAATTACTCCTGCACAATATAAAAATTCTATTTATCGTAATTATATTTTTGCATTTGTCTAATGTATAGATTAATAACAAGATTATATTAAGAAATTTAAATTAATAACAAACTAAATTGACTTTATTATTAATTGTGTTTAATTTTAGATTTCCTCATGGGATAGTTCCTAATTGGAATTTTAGGGACTTTATGCATTCATTTATGATTGTTTTTCGTGTTTTGTGCGGTGAATGGATAGAATCTATGTGGGACTGTCTGCTTGTGAGTGGGTCCATGTGTATTCCTTTTTTTCTATCAACTGTGGTAATCGGCAACCTTGTGGTAAGTAAACTGTGAGATCTAAATTTCATTTCAAATTGAAATTTCTCATATTTTAGCACAGTTTTACGATTGTTATTTTAATCTAAGCTTTGAGTTTTTATACATTTACTGTAAAGTTATTTTTTATTTTGAATTCCAACACAAGAATAGAAATTAAAAAACGAAGTATAAAAAGTACAAAAAGGGGAAACAAAAAAAACAATTTTCATAACTACAAATAAGAATACATTACCAAAATATAACAGTGATAACATTTTCAAACAATTAAGAACACAACAATTTTTAATATATCTGTTAATTAGAAAAAATGATCTTGAAATAATCTTTACTTGCTGCAATGTATTTGTTACAGTGCACAATTATTTGTTGCAATTTACCAATTTTTGCTGATAAATACAAAATAAAGAGGAAATATCTATGTAAATTACCAGAAATAATACAAATTTAGTTTACCTTTATAGATGCAAATTTTTTAAAGATTACCAGGGCCCCATCTAGAAATGCAGGTGATCCTAAACACAGAACTATCAGAGGGGCCTCCTGGTTGTTACTTTAAACCAAATTTGCATTTTCTTTATTTATGAAGTGTTTTTAAATTATTTATAACATACGTAAATTATGATATATTATTAAATTTAAGCTTATATTTATTTCAACTTTTGTTAACCCATTATTCTGATAGACAATTCTTAAGGAAAAACACAAAAGGAAATTATTTGTAACATTTTTGGCACCCTAGGCCTGGACCACTCAGGCCTTATGATGAATCAGGTACTATAAATTGTCAGAAATTAAATGGTGTATTATTTAATATTAACTTAAAAGTAATAATTATAAACTAACTGTACTAAAGGTATACAGTGTTAAAAGTTATATAAGGAAATGTTATGGTAGAAATAAATGTTTCCTTCAAATGTTATGCTATTGCTATTTCTAATGCCACTTGGACAAGCCGATGGCCCTTTGTGAATTAAGTCAGGAATGTTTGCTTGCCTTTTATTTGGCGAAAGTGAAAGTATGTTTTGGCTCAGAACCCTTCGGATCGATGACAGGATTATTTCGTAAGGCCAATTCCTCAATTCAGATATAGATTTGAAAGGAAAGGAAATTTTCTCCTGATCCCTGTACCCATGGTATATATCCAGTACGTTGATATGGTACTGCTCAGCAATTAACCACTGGACTTTTTTGATTCCATGAATTTCACGAGCACTTATATCGCATGTACTCAAGGATCAAACCTTGTCCCCTTCATACCGGAGTCTGATTCTCTAACCACTGAGCTACCACCTCCCTTCAAATGTTATAAACTAATGATTGAAATTTTTGGTTCTACCTCATTTAATGTATTAATGGTCTTAACAAATTTTTATTTTAGAGCTGTGGTGGCTTAGAGGATAGAGTACTCTCCTCCCAATGAGATGAACTGGGTTTGAATTCCAGCTGTGGCTGGTTTGTACGAATTCTGCACCTCACTCTCACTGAGCAAGTGCTGACGTAAAATATCCTCAGTAGTAAGCTGATCATGAGTTAGAGTCCCCTTGCCATCAGGCTAACCGTGGGAGGTTTTTGTGGTTTCCCTCTCCAGGCAACGCAAATGTGGGTTAGTTCCATCAAAAAGTCCTCCGCGAAGGCTAATTTCTCCCAATACTTGATCCAGGAGTTCCCTTGTCTTCTGGATTTGGTTGAAAACTACAAGGCTACGGAGTTGGTCGGCTGTTCTACGACGGTTATAAAATATAAATAAAATAACCATTTTTATTCTACATTTAGGCATTATTAACTGCATTTAAACTTTTCTCATATAGGTGCTGAACTTGTTCCTTGCCTTGTTACTGTCCTCCTTTGGTGCCTCTAATCTATCTCAAGCTCCTTCAGATACAGCGGATACAAAAAAGCTACAAGAAGCAATAGACCGTTTTTCTAGAGCTAGCAATTGGGTTAAAAATTTAATATTTCGAATTTTAAAGGTAAGTACCGATTCTCTTTCAAGAAATGCATGTAATTTATGTTATGTAAGTAATAATACTGATTAATATGCATGAGTATAAGTTTTATCTTTTATGCTATAATATGCAAGGAATTGTTTTAGAATCAAAGTTTGGCGGCAGTGAATAAATGTGTAAGTAATAATAGTATTTGAGGAGGAAGGAAAAAAGGTAGTTACTATGGAGTTTATGAATAGTGAAACTATTTTAAATGTCTTAAATAAGATAAAATTTTATTAATTATGAAGGTAAAAAAAAAATTAAAATGCTAGTATTAAATTTTATTTTCTAAGTCAGCAATCACTAGAATTAAAATGATTGTTTACTTAACATAAATACTTTTCAATTAACTTAATGTAAAAGCATTTGGGACAAAACTCTACCTAAAATTTCAGTGTTTAGAATTTAAAGAGTATAACGAATCTAAGAAATTATGAGAAAACAAGAAAATTAACCGGTAAAAGCAATAATATAGTGTAACAAAATATTTAAAACTGATTTTTTCTAATGTTCCTAGGCAAAACTAAACCTTTGTAAAATTTAGGCATGCGTTTTCACTTAATTAACTCTTGACAAACTTAAAAAAAAATAATTTAAAATATTTGCATTCAATTTTATGTGATACCTATCCTGCAGTGATTTAGAGCACTAAAAGATTAAATATGAAACATGAACTGCACTTCAACACATGTAAGAACAATATATTTTTATTTTATGTCAATACCTACCAAACTTTTAAAGTATATTAAGTTTAAAATGTTTTATATTAGAAATCAAAAAAGTAAATTTTATTAAATTTGTGAATATAAATGAATTTTTTATGCAGTCTGTCCGGGCCAAACTTACCAATCAGATTGCCGATCAAGCGACAGATAGGAGAGATGATCTGCCTGATGATCCTATTGCAGGTGAGTTTATCGCAGATGGACAATTGCCTATGATGGAAAAGTTTTCTAAACATGTTAAAGATCTAGAAGTTGTTATAGGGGATGAAATGGAAATTTCTATACAAGGTATATATTTGTTCACTGATACAATATGCTCAACAAAAATAATTATTTTTAAGTTGGTAATTGTTGAAAGTCATGCTTTAGTTCATTTATTTGCATCGTTTTCTTACTAGGGAATGGACAGGCCATTCAAATGAAAGATTCAAATAATTCTATGCGGCCAACAATGAATTGTGTACCTCTAGGCACTAAAATTGAACTTTTATCTGCAAAATCAAACAAGGAAAAGGTTTGTATGCTACTATAGAGCATCTTTTTATTGGATTTGTACTTTAAAGGAAATATGACATTGAATTTATTATTAAATGGAACCAGTCTTCTCTCTCATAAAACCATATGCAGTTTTTTATAATATTGTTCTCTTTAAAAACAATGCTTTTTCGAATATTTTTGTGCAAGTATGCCCATGTAGTTGTACTGTGAAAGCGTTTTAAAAAATATGTTCATTGGTTTTTATAAAAATGATTCGATTTTTGATTTTAACTTTAAAATATTATGTTTTTTTCTTTTCTAAATTTGATCTAATTTTTTTCTTAATTAGTTCTTTTAGTATTTTTCTAAATCAAGCTATGAATAGCTATAAAGAAATCTGAACAAAAACAAGAAAACGCAAGTTAGATATGAAAATGTTTTCAAAGAATATCATCTATGTGCACCAAACATTCTTTTATTTTTATTTAAGAATAATTTTACGTATTTAGACTTATTAAATCTATTTATTCCTTATGCAATGCAGAAAACAAAAGCAGTGAAGTTTTTAACTTCTCAAGTAGTTTCTGATCCAATTTTATGCATTTTCTGATTTTTTTCTAAGACAAAAACATTTTTTTCAGGAAAGTGAAATAACTGGGAATAACAAAGTCCATCCATTAAATGAAGATGAAAACAAATCTGACATCTTCGAAAAAGGCTTGGTTGTAGCTAAAATCCCAAAAGAAGCAAGTGATTTGTCTCTTATGGATAGTGGTGAAGAAAAGAAGGACAGCAGTAAGGAGGACAAACCAGCAACGGGTGAGAACATAGAAATCTTTCATTTATTATAAATTTTGAGAGAGGTTTACTTAACAGAAATTTTAAGAATCAAGCTAATTTAATAGATTTTAATTTCTATAAAATCGTATAGGCCTTCTATAAAATCGTATACCCCAGAGACACCCTGCCCTGCACAAGACAGGTCTTCTCAGGGATATTGGGACCAAATTTAAAGGAAGGTAGGGGACATCACAAATATTCAGTATTACATTGCAACCCATGGTCGGAAATATCATGGGAAAGTAGTGTGACAGGTGCAAGAAACAAGGAGAGTCAAGGCTGAGATCATTTGAAATATTTATAGGTCAAAGATGTTACTTGCTCTGTGGAGATGATTTGTGAAATGGTTGATGATTGTGATTTGTGATCCAAAGTTCCCATTCTTGCTTATGATTTCACCATCAGGCCATGAATTGGCACTCTCGCTCAAATACATCTGGATTTACTTGGATGAGCAGCACAGACGATTCTGGAATCCACTGATGGATTTTGGAATCCACTGATGTTGCATAAAAGGGACTTTTCAGTGTACCGAATGAAAGAAATCCATGCTGTTTTAATTAGAAGAGCGTGGTGGCCAGGGAGCCAGTTCGCGACCAATCCATCTTTTGATCAATTCCTGACCATGAACGGAATCGTTTTCAACCAGGGGTTGCTGTGCAAATCTAAATCCTTGTGATGTCACCTACCTCTCATTATAATTTGCCCCAATAACCTTGGGACACCCTGTAGATAAAAGATCATTAGTTAAAAAAAAGTCTTCTTAAGATAAAGGATTTTTTTTTTACAAAACTTGTTCAAAAAATTTAAAATCTGCATTTGTCTATCTAGTTTAAGTTTCTTCCTCCTGAATGTTACAGACTGTAAATTAGGGTTACTCTGACTACTTTTTCTATATTTCGAACATAGATTTCCTTTGTTCAACTTGACCTTTGGTTATTTCGCTTGAGGTCATATTTTATTTCCTTATACTAATGCATTATAATTTAAAAACATTGAATACATTTTCCTAAATGATTGTGCTAAAGGAAATATACTTCCCTTTGAAACATTTCACCAGATCTGATGGAGGTTTTGCATTTTTCCAATTCAAAAATTCTTTGTACTTGCTACTTCCATGCATTTTTTTTATTGCATTTAGAGGACATTGTCAGCCTTCTCTGCCTATATCTATGAAAAATGTGATTAATTAAAATCGAATACATTTGTATTAGTTGAATATTAAAAGTAACCTGTCAAAGTTGGATACAGGAGTGTATTTTTATATCAAAGAAGGATAGATATCAACAAAAGTTGTAGCCAGTGGTATGTCTAAATAACTCACTCTTCTATTAGAATATCGAAACTCTAGCTTACATTTGGTTGAATATCTTTTCAAAGGTCATTTATTGCTTCAATGATACATTATTTTCAAATACTGTTAACTATTTAATGAATGAATCTATGATCTTAAGGCCGAGATAGCCTGGTTAGTAGAACATTCAGCTTATGTCCAATAGTTCATGAGTTCTATACCATCTGACCGAAGACTCCCCATGTAGTAAATGATGACAGGTGCATGTTAAATCTGTCGGGTCACTAAGTCTTCCAAGTTTCCATAACAAATCAATACCTCTGGGGATACTGAATTGGAGATTGGTGGCTCTCTAGTTTAGGTTAAAATTACGATCTGTGGATGAATGAATAGATGTATGACCGGGTCCGCCCTTTAAAAATGGGCTGTGACGTTTGTGTGAGGCTGGAGTCGTTAGATGACGCCATTGAATGCCCTCTTCTGCCTAAAAGTCGCTTGGTTTCACCAAGCAGGTTTGCTGGTTAATGGCAATTGACTTTAGAAACAACAGCAAAACTATGCTCTTTCATGATACGAAAAGGGAATTTTCTGCCCTAAGGGTATAAAACTTAGAAGATATCAATGGCAGTGCCTGTTGCAGGACAGTAACATTACCTCCACTGGACTCTGATGATATCTTGTAAAATAACATGTATTGGGCCAGAGGATGTAGTGTACTGCTAACTGCGTTGCATTAGAGCCTTGACATTAAGAGCCATGTTAATATCTTCACAAAATCAGAAGCAATTCCATTTGTTTTATGGTATTTGGTTCAAATAAAACTCAAAAGTCTAAGTATAATATAGAAAATGGAAAAATTCTTCATTACTTCTATTCAATTTTTTAAAAAAAACTCTTTAATTCTGTATTTTTAACAAATTTTTAAAGTTTACCTTTTAAATTTTGCGAATTTATTTAAATGCTTGTTAGCTAAAAGTATTTTTATATGTCTCACCGATAATAATAAATTCGAAGTCAGAAAAAAACTGTCCATTGTCAGAATTATTTTCTAATTTTCTGATAATGCCTTGCCTTTGGTTTTTGAATAAATTACAATGTGCTTAAACGCTTTATGGGACATAAAGTGTAATGCAGCAATATTTTATAAGTTGGGAGAAGTTGGAAAACTAACTCTGACATAGCTCTATAATTTCTATGTAAGCTTTTGCTTACATTTTAACTTAAGCACAGTGCAGCCTTAATAATTTAATTGGTATTTATCGAAATAAAACTTGATGTAGTATTTTGCAAGTTACATATATATCAGATGTACATTTTTGAAAATATTTAATTGATTTTTGACCAGGTGAATATGATACGGATGGTGATCTAGTGGATGACATGGATACAGATAAGATAGAAATCACGACCGAAGATGTCATTGAATCAGAATATCCTGCAGATTGTTGTCCTGATTGCTGTTACGTTCGTTTCCCATTCTGCTTGGGGGATGAGTCCCCAAGGTGGCTTCAGTGGAAGGAAGCACGAAGAAGAAGTTATAATTTAGTTGAACATAAATATTTTGAAACTCTTATTATTACAATGATTCTCATTAGTAGTTTAGCTTTGGTGAGTCATTCTTTATTCAAAACAAATGAACTAAAACATTTTGTAACTAGTATTTTATGTAGTAAATTGCTAAATTTTAAATGTATGAAATGTGTTCTGTAAAGACTACGAATCAGTATTTATAATCGGCAAGAGCGTGCAGAGGTGAAGATATATTTTAGGCTAAATTTACTATTATATTCCCCTGATAAGAGTGATGGGTAGAAAGGTAATTTGATTAAAAAAAACGTTAGACGTTCGATGGAAATACAATATTTATAAAAATCTATATCTCTACTTAATAGTCATATTTATCTCTTAAAAAATATAATTCCATACTAAATATTATAGTATAAATTTTAAGTTTTGCTCTCCTTATTGGTTAAATGGATACCCGTTGGCTGAATGTCTGGGACTGTTGCCAGATACGCTTCCTCTCTCTGCACGCCTCTTCTCCTGAACCATAAATTTTAAGGAACTCATTATTAAATAAGTGTCATTATTTGCGAATACAGCTTATTAAGTTATATTAATAAATATTTTATTCATTAAATTAAACTTGATTAAATCTTATAAATATAAAGTTGTAAAAATGTAAAGTAAAATGTAGTTGTAGCCAAATTGAAAAACCTTAAAACTAGTATTTGCATTCATGAAGGTGTACGAAAGTTTTCTTTGATTTGAAAAGTTTGTTAATCAATTTTCATTTGCTTAAATTTTTAAATAAATCTTTTTTCTTTTTTTTTAAATTTATATCTATTTATTTGTATTGCTAATCATGTTGTAGCATGTGTAATCAGTCATGGTCCTTTTCGAGACACTTAAATATTATATGTGTGTGTGTATATATATATGTGTGTATCAATTTAATGTATAAAAAAATACGGTGGCTATTTTGGCATTTGTTGCTGTCAAAACATCAGGATTTTAAATGCTGTTCTTTTAATTTATTTTCTTCTCAAGGCCTTGAGGTAGTATTGTTTATTTTTCACAGTCTAAATATAATGTACTGCTAAATATTATTCTTACTATCACACCTTCGAAATAAATGTTGAATATTTCTTACGTATTTATCCTAATTTAAATTGTCTGAAACAAAAGTTTCTCAATATTTTATTTCTAATACCACACTGACTCCTCCAATAAGTTCCATGAACCTTAACGAGAGCAATGTATCTGTTGATTTTCTTCAGTTTTTGGAAGTAATTTTGCTACCCCTAGTCTAAAATGAAGATTTAAAATTCAACTAAACAAAAAAATAAATGTAGTTTTTTTTTTTTTTAAGTTTCTAGCTTGGAAAAAGCACATGAATTAACATTTTTAAGTTTCAAAACTAAAAGTGTCTCTTAAACTTATTCCTTTTTTTTTAACAGAAGCACAAGCTATTTGTATATTGTATTTTTTTTTTCCTCTTAAAAATTATATTTATTCAACAGGCTGCTGAAGATGTTAATCTGAAGGAGAGGCCATGGCTTAAAGATATTTTGCAATATATGGACAAAACGTTCACAGTTCTTTTTCTTTTTGAAATGTTGCTCAAATGGCTGGCATTTGGTTTTAAAAAATATTTTACTAATGCTTGGTGCTGGCTAGATTTTGTCATAGTTTTGGTAAGTATACTATTTAGAAAAAATTACATTGGAAACATTTTATCATCTGATGGAATAGTATATTTACTTTGAAATACTAGAAAATGATTTTATTTTTAACATTTATGTTGATGAAAGTTATTGGAATCTTATGCTATATAAATCATGAATTTTAATTTTGCTGTGTTCCATTTTTCACATATTTCAATCGTTGTTTTTATTTTCTTTCTAAAATGTATATAAAATTTAGATAACTCAAAATTTCAGAAATAAATTTTATCTATGTGTTTTCATTACTGCACTAGTGATTCATCCTTGCGTTCTTTCAGATTCAACAAAGTTGCTATATTGGTAATTTTTTTTTTTAATTTTAATGTGTCAACTATTTATGTTACTGTAAGATTTAGATTTTTATTCTCTCTTTTACTTCAAACCCTCTAATTTGTTATGAAAAAAACTTTCTTTTTTTTTTCAATATTTTTACTGTTTATCACTTCATTAAATTACTTTTATTATTAAAATTTTCTATTAATTTTTATTTTTACCCATTCTGAATGTAACATCACATAATAGAATTTTTTGTTTTATCTGTTCAGTAACTTAAACTTATAAAAATATGAAAATAATTTAAAGAAAAACATTTACAAAATAGCTAAAATTATACTTTCATCAATTATTATTTTAATTATTTTATGAAATGCGTTAGCAAAGTTTATGTTATTAATATAGTTTGTAGAAAAGTTATTTATGTCATATTATAAAATTTTATTTTATTTTAGCTTAGTACAAATTATTTAATAGATTGTATTTGTAATTCATTGTTTAACAATGAATATTTGAAAGAAATCATGCACTTATTTCTTCTCATTACTTTTTTTTCAAATGGTTTCTCGCTATGAAATTTCCATTGTTTAACCGTCTGATAATTAATTCAAAATTATTAAGAATATTAGTTATAATTCGCAAAAAAATAAGTAAATTTTACTTATTGCAACTTTACTGAGTAAACTATACAATGAACTTTTTGACTTTTAATCAAATAAATTGTTAATATACTTGCCAGAGAAAGTATGCGACATAAATAAAAAGAACCTTTTCCATTGTATAGTTTCTCTAAAGTAAGAACTCCCTTAGCCTATCGTCTGTAACATGCTGTACTATGGTAACAAGATATAACTATTTCAAGTAGGGGCGTGGGATCATTGTTTAGAAAAGGTTTTGGCTCAGGAATATTTTTCTTCAATCTACTGTGTTAGCTGGAGTAAAGAGAAGCTACCTTCCTGAAATGCGTTATTCTTGTTTCCATAGCAGCAGACGGTCTCAAACTTTGTAGCTGGGGGAGTTCTTACCATAGACAAACTAAATTAAGAAGTACTTCGTAACTGTAAAATGTGTGGAGACAGAGAGGGAAAATTCTAAATATAATTTTAATCCTTTTAATTTAATTTTCATACATAAACTGATGATGGATACTTACTCAATTTGGCACTGTCTTTCGGATATAAGGCCGTTACATGTAAAATAGAAGGCCATTACCCAATCAGAATTTGATATATAAATCGTGCAGTGTTTCAGATTCTCTATTAATTTTTTTTCTGACAAAGTTATGCCAACACAATTCTGCAATCAGCAATTTTTGAAAGATATTTAAGTAGTTAACAGTTATTAGTTTTTAAATTTAGATTATTTTTATGCAAATAATGTTAAAGGAAATTTCTAGCGCCATCCAAATCGGTTTTCCTCAATTTGAGCTGCAATTAGACTAGATTTTAAAAGAATGTAAAAACTGAAAAACGCAGTTTTAAATGAATATCTCAAAACCATAAATCACATGATTTTATTGCTTTAAAGATTTGAGATAAAATTTAAAGAAGTTCTAAAAATTATCAAGCGCTATATCTCCTAATCTAATAAAGCTATCCCTTTATTTTATGCCATTTTTAGAAGGTATTACGCTTTCTAATAATGCTACATCAACAAAAGTTTACTGGTTACAAAAAATATAGAGGGAACGCAAATTAAAAATTTTACCTAAAATCCAAGATTGCGAGATCCACATAAAGTTATATGCTTAAAGTCAAATTTTGGAAAATATTGATTGTGAAGTTGACTTGTGATGATTTGTGAAAGAAAACATAACAAGTGATATTTTTAATAAAAAAATTTATAATATTTAGTAACTATTCAATTTATAGTTTTAAAATAAAAATTATGAGGAAATTTTACAAATGTAAAAATTTCAATACTCTGTACTTCTTTTTCTATATTTTTCTTTTACTCGCATTATTTTTCCTTAAAAAAACGCTTATGTAGAGATAATTTTCTCTACTTACTATTCACTTCAGTAAAATGTACTTTTTTTTCTTTTTTTTTTTTTTTTTTTTTTTTTTTTTTGCATGTCTAACCATGAAATTTGTCTCTATAATTCTAAATAACTTTGTGTATACCTCTTAACTTTTTGTTATTTTATGTTCTTTCCTTTCCGACTATTTTCAAGCCATACTAACTTTACTTTTTTGCTTATTAAATTTATAAAGAATGTTCATGTCTATTAATATTATCGAAGAAAAATTTGTTTTTCTCAATTTAAAATATCATAAGTAAAGAGCTGTAATCAACAAAATCAAACATTGGGTTAAAAATAAAAAACTTCATATTATTTATTCATTTATATTTTTATTATTATTTAAATATTATTTATATTTTTATATATAAAAACGCGTAATGGGATGTAAATATTTATGCAGATTAGACGAAAAAAATTTAGTTCAAAACAACTTCATATATCTTGATTATAAACCTTATGAGGGTAATTTTTTAAAGTTGTATTAAAGTAAACTTCAAATAAACCTAAAATCACCCTTAACACCTCAAATAAACTTCTGAAACACTTTAAATTTACGTAAGAGATCTAACTATCAACATCATATTTTAACACATATTACTATGATCTAACTTGTTAAAAGAGAAACATAGATCAAATTATTAAAGTTACAACAAAATTATTTAATAAGTTGAAATAATATATTATCTTTTCTGAGAGGATAGGCAATTTACAATGTTTCCGGAATTAATTTATCAATTATTTCATTAATTTTTTCCAGTTTTTGTCAATAACGGCCTTTTTTTTCTCCTTGATTCTTTTTTATCTCCAATAATTAATTTATTTCATTCATTATTTTATTTTTTTTTCTTTCCTTTCTTCTAACGTATTGTCATGTAATTTCTTACAATCTTCAGCTATTTATAATGACCAACTGTACTGCCTGCTAATATAAATATTATCTTGATAAATTCTGACGCCTCCTTTAGGTTTCCATGTTTAATCTGGCGGTGGGGTTAGCTGGCTATGCCAACATTCCTGCATTTAAAACAATGCGTACTCTACGAGCCCTCCGCCCTCTGCGTGCAATGTCACGTTTAGAGGGGATGAGAGTAAGTAACTAAAACTCTAGCGAGCTCACTTGTAGTTGATTCATCTAAATTAAAATATACCTAAACATTTTTTTATTCCAGATCACATCTGGAATATTAGTATTGATCAACATTGCTGCAATAAGCTCTTTACAAATACACATTTCCACAAGTAATAAAAAAACTCAAAGATATGTGTCAGTTAGGTTTATTTTTAGTTTGAAAGTAATGTTTTAGTTTTTTTTTAATTCATAATATCTGCTATTCGGAATTCCATGTATTCGCTTTTTTTATTTTGAAAAGAATTTCATTAGAACAATAATACTATTCAAGTGCGTTAGAAATCCAAATCAAAGAGATGAAAGTGCAAAACTTTGTTCAAAATTCAACGTATTACGATTGTCCATTAATTTACTTCATTAATTTAATTTTAGTGATGTTTCTTAAAGTTTTAAATATTTATAATTATTAGCAATGAATACTTATATTATATATATATATATATATATATATATATATTACATCCTATTAACCTTTTGCACTCCGATGTTACCTCTGAGGCACCATCAACAGTTACTACTCGAAAACTAAA